GAGGGAAATCATGTTTTTAGATAACGCAGCAGCGTAGCTTTCACATTTTCCACTAAATTTATTGTAATTTGGTTGAAACAAATTGAAAAATTACAATTAAATGACTTTAAATTGCTTGATCCCAATAGGTGGCGCCAACACGAAATTCTATCAAGTTAAGGGTAACCCTACTGTAATTCTGGTAACACTTCCCTTAATGATGAAAAAAACTAACTTATTAACACTCTATTGTAATTCGCTCGCTGACGAATAGGTGAAGAAACAACACAATTTACCTTCTTTCAATAAATTTTTTTGAAAATGTATTAGAATTGCTGTGTTGTTGAATGACTGAAAAATTTCAGATAAATCAGCGTTGAATTTTTTATTATATCAACTCATTTTATTCTTTCTACAAATCCAGAGAAATGAACAATAACATCTTTCCCTAAGCACATTATCAATAAAATTGATAAAATTAATTACTAATTACTTTGCACAATTATTGATCAAGAACATTAATCTCTTCACTGATTTCTGTCAATGTAATCTTTCCTGTTTTATCTCAATCTTCGTTTCATTTTCATCTTCTAGGTGTTAAGAGTAAGCTTTTCTTCTTGAAGACAAAAGTGGTTGAAGAAGCAAATATGACCTCAATCTAAAAGTCTTATAAGTAAATGACACTTTAGGTTATTTCGTCAAAGTTGTTCATTATTGAAGGTGAGATCATTCGATTCTAAAGAACTTCAATCAATGAGATAGCCAAGTATTGGTACACTGAGGTTTACTCCAAATTATCACGAGTGGAAATTAGAATTTTTTATCATTTGCAAAAAATAATTTAATGATAATGATGATTTACTTGGATGAAGATGAGGTTCAATGTAGTTTGATGCTGGTTCAATTTTTGTTTGGTAATGTTTCTTGGAATTTAAAGATACCAGTTTTACTAAAATATCGTCTTTAAAATCACATTTTTGCAATAATTTGTTGCATTGGTTGTATCAATATTTTCTTACAAATACAAATTATTTAGAAAAATCTATCGGGTCCAATAAATTGCATGATAAACTCTTTGGTGAAATGAAAACGATTTGCGTTTTTTTTTCTTGCTTTTGTTTCGAGAAAATAATTTTAAAAACATGTCTTCAATGAGATTTTTTCTTGTCTTTTTTCACTTTTTTCCTCCCATTCAAAACTTCGGTGGTGTCGTTATTAACCTCTTTGTTACTTCTCTTGACAGAGCCGTTGATACCATTCACTTGATCTTCAGACTTTCCGTTTATTGAGTTCGTCTCTGTTTTGATTGCTTTTTGGCTTCTTAGAGCACTTTTTATTGAGGGTGGAACAATGGGCTTTGGCTGACTCAAATTGCTCCACCATTTTTCTAATGGAACCAAACTTTGAGAGATAAGAACTTCTTTGATAACAGGTCGCACCGTGTCTACATCAATCTGAGATGGGCATTCAATTCTTTTCATAACCAATTTGTATGTTCCCAACATTAAAAATACTCCACAGTCACGGTCATTTTCTTGGCGTAATACGGTTGTCCGTTGAAGTTCATAATCGGGAAAAAAGGAGCGTACATATTCAAGTACTTTACTTCTTCGAAGGGTAGTTATATTGAGAAAATTGACCAATGGATCGAAAAGATTAAGAGTACCTTCACCCGAAATATAATAGACACCAATCCAGTGTTTCTTAATACAAATAGGAAACATATTAATAACACCTAAACCTTCCTCATCAATCCATTCTGAGATTCGTTCCTGAAAAGCTCCTTGGTTGCGGGTGAACACATCAAACCAAAGGGGGTCAAAATACTGAAATTTTTTAGTGCCCCTTGAGGTTCGGGCATGAATTTTGAGAATATGGAAAAAATTATTTATCACATCATCCCGAACAAAATCGTTATTCATAAGATCATTCAGGGATTTATCACTAACAGGTCCTTTAATTCGTCTAAAGAGTACGGCAACATCTTCCTTAGTTATCCGGTTAGCAGTACCATTGGGTAATCGTCGACGACGAGGAGTCATTTCTATTGAATAAATCTATTCTAATACCCTAGGAGTAGACATCACATGGAAGAAGAAATGATTGAACCAAAAAAAGAGTATGAATTTTTCTTTCAAAGCAGAAAAAGATTGATGTGGATACAAAAGCATATACCACGCTTACCGTTTATGAAAATAATAACTTTTTCAACATAAAGATTGTATAAAATGAGGGTAACAAATTTGAAAATGAACACAATGTAAGGTAATAGACGCAACTACACAAATAAATAAATAAGAAGAATAAAACAAATTATCGATGACCAATGGAAAAATCAAAAAAGAAAATGTTACAACCCTATCTCAACCCGGGCACGGTATTACATTATCTACTTCAATAGATACCATCTAAACGTTTATTGGCTCTTTTAAATACGGAGCCTTCAAGCTTATTCATAATGGTCAAATGTCCATTACAATCAGCTGTAGAATAAATAGAAAATTAAAAATTAAAACAAAAAACGTACAAACATTGTTTCAATGTAAAGCAAAAGACAAAATGAACTCTAGAACTAGTTTTTAGTCAGAAAAAGGATTCAAGAAATATTTTCTCTTACAGCTGACACTGGTCACATGACTTTTCAACTCACACGTAAAGTTTTTTTGCAAATAAATTATAACAATATCTTAATCTAATTGTTATTGCTGTATTTTAAGATGAAGAGACAAAATTGATTCACTGATTTGCATGCAACTCAGCTGATTATTCAACAACAAAAATTTTCATTCAAGACATTGGCTTGTATGGAATTAATTTCATTTTATTTTGATTATAAATTTATTGATTAAGTGAATTAACATTTACAAATACAATCAAAATGTTTAAAACTTGACAAGACTGGAAAAATCATTCGCATACAAAATTAAATAGTGACACTATCAAATATCATGATTAGTTGTATAAATTAGTTTTATACATTTAGACTGGATTCAGATGATGCAGCTGGAATTGGCCAAAACTTGAATTTTTACATGATTATCGTTCAATGGAACTTCAAAGAGCTTTAGAGTTAGTAAACCATGGTGACAATTGATTTAATCATTAAAGGATAATCAAAACAATTAACTGGCAGGCAGGGCTTGTTTCTGTCTTTTACTAGGTTCCTTTGTAACTTTCTCATTCTCTTTCTCTTCAGTTTCAATATCTAGATAAAAATTGGAAAATTAAATTGGTTAAAAAATGGTGTTGAGATGGGATAATTGATTTTCAAACCTTCAGGCTCAGTTTGTGGAGCTTTTGGCAGTTTGAGATCTTCATCATTGGCATCAACTTCTTTGACAATTTGTTCCAATTCTTCCAGCAATTCGACCTCGTCTTCTTCACTGAATGTTCCGCCAATTAGTTGATCAATTTCCTGAGAGATAAGTTTAATAAAATTAGTAAAAGGAAGGAAATAATTTTGTAATCATAGCAACTTACTCTTTGTTTTTCTATTCCTTCTCTGGTTTCTTCAAGTATAGACTCAACTCTTTCAATTGACAATATTTTATTCAATTCTTTCAAAGCTTTGTTTCCTTGTTCTAATCCTTCAACCACTTGGACTTCTATTTGAGCGAAAGAAATGTCATCAACCAATTTCTCCAATGTGTCTAAAAGTTCATCATGTTTGGCAATAAGATTTTCAAAATATTTCTTCTTTTTCAATATTGTAAGAGCTCGGCTAGAGAAATGAACAGAAAATTGTAATTAATAATAGTCCAATGATAACAAAAATAAAATTCAAGATTAAATCTTACTCCTTTTGACCATTTTGAAGCAATTGACGAGCTAAATTACGTTCATCCTCAAGTCTTAATTGAATCCTTTTTTGATATTGCTTGATTTTATCACGCTGTTGTTTCAATTGCTAAAGGAACAAATAATAAAATAGACAATAAATTAATATAAATAATCTAAATGGTACTACTAAAACCAAAGGATATTTGGTCATAAAAAATCCAAAAAAAACAAAAGCACTAAAATACTCACCAGAACGGCTCGATCCTGTTCAGTTACTTTAGGAACACTTCTCTTGTGTTTGCCAAATAAAGCACCCATATTTACCACGAACTATCGCATTTACAATTAACAAATCTACAATAAAATCACTAATAAAAAACGAAAAACTTGAAACTTAAAACTAAACTAAAACTAGATTGCTTTCTTAGCTTGTCTTGCCCAAAAACAACAACATTGTAACAGCTGATACTAAATGACACACTTTTCCTCAATCTTGTCAACAAATGTCTAAAAATTACCTTTTTATAAAATACCTGTACATAAATGATCCAGATTTAGATAACGATCGCAATTTTTCTAATTACAGCAATTAAGGAATCGTCTGCCATAAAGTATGAGCAAAGGATTAAAGGGACATAAACAAGTTACAATCTTGGTCTTTTCATATAGAAATTATTTTTAAGTTCAATGATTTATCTCAACTGGTAATTTGGGCATCCGATCTAAACCACGATCATATGAAGACCATGAAGAAATGAGGCTCGAAAAATAAATAACATTAGGTTTAGCCCGGCTTTTAATCAATTTAACAAACTGTACTTACAATGATATGTTTGGTTATCTGTTGCTTGTATCTTTATAGTCATATCTCCCTGTAGGAGGTAATCCACGTGAAAAATACTACAGATTATAGCCAATTAAATCAAATTATCATTTAAACTAGGTTAAAAATAAATTATAGCGACAATGGTTAGAATGTAATAAAATAAAATTCATAGTTAAATCTTTAGAAAGATAATCCGTGTAAAATAGTAAACTTGTCAGCTGACTTGAAATTGACGTTTACTCAATTGATCCAAGGATAATTCTGGTTCTTACATTCTTAAGAACATTACCAAATGTTAAAAACTGTTCCGATGAAAACTATAAATGAAATAAAGCCGTAATGAAGTAAATTATTTTGTGTTGTCATTATTCACCTACAAATTATCTCTATTTTAATTAATTGTGGACATCCAGCTTTTGTCAACATCTCTAGTATTATACATATCCATTTGGTGTTTAAGGTAACAACAATTCATCTGAACCTCTCATCAAAACGAGAAATCATTGATGTTGCTTTTCATTTCATCTCAACCTCGTAAACCAATGAGAAATAATGTCTTTTTGAATTGAGATGGCGCTCAGATAATCTTTGTTAAATGTGTAATTGGTCTCAATATATGTTATTTGATCAACAGTTGTCCATCAAATGAAATCAAATTTAATGAATAACTCGTCTTGACCAATCCTGTTACCAGTTTTCTCTACGCATAAGGTATATAATCTTTTCCACCCTGTTAACCTTCTATCTCTCTAATCTTTCATTTTTTTGTTTATCCATCGTCATCGACAAATTTTGACTCATCTTGATAATTACCAGATACCTAATTTCATTCAGCTATCCATAGAGACAATTATTACTTTGTTTTATGTCTATTTAGATTCGTTTTCAATCTTTTCAATAATTTAGTATTCATGATATTTTCCTTTTAACCTTTTCCTATTGAATCTAGTCTATGTCCTTTTTTATATTTACAGTATATGTATAATATTTATGACTTGTAACTCATTAACCCTCAATTATTCACATTTAGCTCACTGATGATAGATTATTGTATAAATTTTTTTCCATTCTTTTTCGCCTTACATCACATTATCTCTTTGCCTCTTGTGAATAGATCATCCTTTACCATCTTTATTCATCATCCATCCTGATCATCAACAATCAGTGTCTCAAGTTCAACTACTATGCCATTTCGTTTTCTTACTCAATAAAAGACCGATATTTCACCTCATCTTTAACAATACAAATTAAAAATGGATAACAGTGTGCAAATAAATATCAACAACTTTGATGGTCTCAAGAAATGCTGCTTAATGATTCGTGGTATGACATGTGCTTCCTGTGTCGAACATATTGAAAAATGTGTCAAAAAACTACCAGGTAAGTGAAAGTTTAATGTTCAATTTTTTTCTTTTCTGTTCACCATATTCTTGTCATCATTTCCCTAACCTAAAAAATTTCAATTTTTCCTATGTCGAGTTGTCGATAAAATATTGATAAAAACATGGCTCTCAACAGTAAATGAAGAAGAACAAGCTCTTGACTGATCTAATCTCAACATTTTTATCCTTCAATTTCTAGGTGTTCATGGTATTCTTGTATCGCTTTTGGCTGGAAAAGCAGAAGTTAAATATGACCCAAGCTTGACAAAACCGGAAAGTATTTCCGATTACATAGATGATTTAGGATATCCCACCGAAGTTAACCATGATTATAATGAGAATTCTTCCGACTGTGAGATAACCTTTATTATCAAAGGAATGGCTGCCAAAGATTTGGAAACAATTGAAAATCATTTTAGAAACATTATTGGAATAAAATCAGTTGCCCTTTTTTCATCTACCTCTAAAGCAAAGTTCAAATATGATGCTGAATTGATCGGACCTCGTAACATTGCTGATGAGCTTCGTAAACAGGGTTACATATCACAAGCGTGTCAAGACTATTGGGTATCAATTAACATGGCCTTATTGAATCAAAGAGAAGAAGTACGAAAATGGAGAAACTCATTCTTTTTCAACCTCTTTTTCGGATTACCCTCTTTGGCAGTTATGATGTACTATATGCTCCTAATGTCCCACAAGAAATCACCGCACCTTTCGATGTGCTGTGTTATTAATGGTCTTAGTTTGGAAAATTTACTCCTCTTCATTCTGGTCACACCTTGCCAATTTTTCGGTGGACGATATTTTTATGTCCAATCTTACAAAGCAATCAAACACCGAACAGCCAATATGGATGTTCTTATAATGTTGGCCACAACTATTGCTTACTTTTACTCAGTCATTATTTTAGTTATATTTATAATGCGTGATATTGACCACAGTCCAAAAACTTTTTTTGAAACCTCGCCCATGTTACTTATTTTTGTCTCTCTGGGTCGATGGTTGGAACATATTGCCAAGGGTAAAACAAGTGAAGCTTTAACCAAACTTATGAGCTTACAACCTAATGAAGCTTGTCTAGTTGAATGGGATATTAAAGAGTCCCGAGTTTTATCCGAACAAATTATTGACGTTCAATTGGTCCAACGTGGGGATTACTTGAAAGTTGTTCCTGGAAGTAAAATACCAGTCGATGGTAAGCTTAAAACACAATCTTGACAGAAAATTTCTTAAAGTGAATCATCTATTGTTAAATTTATATTAATACTGAATAGGTCTCTTCATTTTCTAGCCAATGTTAATTTTCATTTCATGATAGAAAGCTTTTTATGTATTTTTAGCTATAATCATGTTATGGACAAAATGACATTTGTCATATGTTGTAACATTTGACAATGTGTTAGTAGTTTGTAACTGTTAATTTAATAGCATTCTCATTTTCACCAACCACAATTGTTGTTGTTTTTAAAATTAATGTACTCAATACTTTTACTTTCAAAAGCAACCCTCATTAATTTACCTTGTTTTTATGTTGAGGCAATATTTAGAATTGTATTTTTGTAGAAAGTAGTTCTTGATAATATGTTAATTGAACACGAAAAGTTGTTACAATTCCTCCTGAAGTTACTGTTTTTGTAACCATGAAATTGTAAACCTTCAATTGCAAATCAGTCATTCAAGACCGTAACTCTTTTATTATTAATTAATAGCATGAAAGTTTACGATTAACCAGTTTACAGGTTTCTGCAGATTTTTTTTACAATTTTTATTAATCTACTTCTAATCTTTCATTGATTCACATTTCTTTCATTATAATGTTAAATAAAGATTGACGAGTGTTTTATTTTTTATTTTTCTTAGGTAAAGTGGTTCACGGTCAGTCGATGACTGATGAATCTCTGATTACTGGTGAATCAATGCCGGTGCCTAAATCGGTCGGGTCAACAGTTATTGGTGGCTCTATCAATCAAAAGGGAACATTGGTCTTAACAGCAACACATGTGGGCAGAGACACTACATTGTCACAAATTGTTCGTCTGGTTGAAGAGGCACAAACCAATAAAGCACCCATTCAACAACTTGCCGATAAAATAGCAAGTCTCTTTGTTCCGGCTATCATGTTAATTTCAATTATTACTCTAGCTGCATGGTTACTTTATGGCCATTTTACTGAAGCTACACTTATTTTTGATAACTATCGAGGGAAAGAAGGAGATATGTCAAAAACTGAAATTATCAATGTATATGCCTTTGAATGTGCGTTGGCTGTTCTTTCTATTGCTTGTCCTTGTGCCTTGGGTCTAGCAACACCAACTGCTGTCATGGTAGGAACTGGAGTTGGTGCTCTTAATGGTATCCTGATAAAAGGAGCGGAACCACTTGAACTTGCTCACAAATTGAAATGTATTATTTTTGACAAGACGGGTACAATAACCCAAGGAGTACCCAGCGTTAGCAAAATTTGTCTCTTCATGGAAAATTTATTCACACACAAAGTAAACCTTAACTCAGATGATTTTCAAAAGAAATTGAAAGAACTTCTTTTACTGATTGGAACAGCTGAGGCTCACTCAGAACACCCTATTGCTCATGCAATTTGTGCATATGTTAAACGAGTTACCGGATTAGATGGAGTAGCCAAAGATCAAGATCAAGGATGGGGTAAAATTGATAAATTTGTTGCTTTACCAGGTCTTGGACTTTCATGTAAAGTCACTCATATTGCCAAAAGTCTCGAGAAAGGCCTTAGTTGTGAAATAATGGCATCTGACCCCACTGCTAAATCTTTTATACTTAATGGTGTTACACTTGAATTGATTGGTAACTCAACTAGCTCTTCAAGTCTGGTTAATCTCTCTGATAACAATGAATCGCCTGTGATACATGAACCTGATTCGTATCAATTATTAATCGGTAATCGAGAATGGATGGAACGAAATTGCTTACAAGTTAAACCTGAAATGGAAAGAGAAATGGTTTGTGAAGAGGAAATCGGCAGCACAGCAGTACTAATTGCTATTAATAATACAATATGGGCGGCTGTTTCAGTTCGTGACCATGTTAAAGCCGAGGCCAGTCTAGCTGTTAAGACACTTTATCTCATGGGACTAGATGTTATTTTGATGACAGGAGATAATGCTAAAACTGCTGAATCGGTTGCAAAACAAACGGGAATCAAAAGAGTTTTCGCTGAAGTGTTACCATCCCATAAAGTGAAAAAAATTGAACAACTTCAGAAAAAAGGTTACATTGTAGCCATGGTTGGTGATGGTGTTAATGATTCACCTGCTTTAGCTCAAGCTGATGTTGGAATAGCGATTGCAAATGGTACTGACGTTGCTGTGGAGGCAGCCGATGTTATTTTAGTCAAAGTATGTATTTGCTCAAATCATTATAATGTTGTCTGACATCTGATTCAAGTATTTTTGCTAATTTTTAATTTATTTATTTTTCCATTTACAGAACAATTTATTAGATGTTGTCGTTGCCATTGATTTGTCCAAAAAAACTGTCCAACGTATCAAGTTGAACTTCTTCCTCGCATGTATTTATAATCTTATTGGAATACCTTTAGCGGCTGGTATTTTCTCTGAATTCGGACTTGTAATTAAACCATGGATGGGATCAATGGCTATGGCTGCTTCATCAGTCTCTGTTGTCACCTCTTCATTATTACTTAAACTTTACCGCAAGCCTGATTTCATGCGGATCGAAGCAAAATACGAGAAAAAAAGAGCTGCACGCTCTGGGGTGGCCGCAATTATCGGACCTGATGTATCTTTCGTTAATGTTCAAAAAGGTCTCGAAGATAGCCATTGTATTACTCAACGGGATGTTAATGGTTCATCAAGAGCAATGAATTTAAACAGAGCAGTTATTGAAATGTTACCCAAAACACAAAAGTCATCCATTAATAGCATTAAAGGCAGTGCAAAGGAAAGAGAACCTCTAGTTTAGTTGAATGTCTTATTTTTGTAAATGTGATCGAGTTTAGCGAATCCAAGCCTTTTTTGTTAACATAACTTTTTGCCGATTTTCGTCGCTACTATGGAAGTACCAGAAAAAAAATTCACCAACAATTATTACTACTTCCATCGAGTAGCACAAAAATTTAAATTTGTTTGATATCATCTTTAGTATTGCTCATTAACGGTTGAGTTTCAATTTTATCAAATTGAATTTGATTTAAATGAAATTGCTCCAATGCTAAAAAGTTAACCCAAATTTTTGTATTGTAATTCCATTTCATTTTATTATCATCTTGATAATTGCGACTTTTGCTTATCAGATCAGTACATATTTATTTATATCTTGTTGCCATTCTCATTGACTCGCTGTTTATCTTTGTGTATCAAATGAAAAATAAAAGCAGAGAAAAATATTGTCCACATTTGCTGTTATTAACTCGTTGAATTGATCGCCTGAAAAGTCAAAGAATAATAGTTTACGGCTGAAACCGCCCAAACTCAATTCCATAGCTAAAAAATCTATTTTATTAACATTTCTTGAAAATAGGCTAAGTTGACTGGAAACAAAGGACTGATTTGATACAAATTTTAAAAGATGAAAATTAAACCAGGTTTTTTATATCAAATTTCTTAACAGCAACAAGTTGAATTGTGGTGAGTATTTAAAATTTACAAGTTGAAGCAGTAAATATATCAATATGATTAGTAAATGAACTGAGAAACAGCCAACTGTAGCTATATTATGTAAATTATCAGTGAAAGTAATAAAAAGGAGAGTCAAATGTCAATCATCACTTTTTATCATCTATTAATCCAATCTAGTTGATTCAGCTATTTTCCTCCTCCTTTTAACCTCCTCTTCCTCCTCTCCCTCCACCTTAATCATTATCTTAGCATTTTGATTAAGTCTCTAATTGTTGCGACGCGAAAAATTGAAAAATAATTTACCCAAAGAGTCGTGTTTCAACATTGTGTTATTCTGATGTTCATCAATTTCAACATTATCAGATTATCAACATCAACATCAGTTTCATCTTATTCTTTGTCGCTAGCAAGTCACAATCAAGTGTTAAATCAAAACCGAGAGTCAAATTAAGTCTCAATCATTGTGCATAACCGGGCTTCATTTTTATTGATATCATTGTTGGTTCACTTGTGTTCATTAATTAACTTCAATTCCTCTTTACCTAAATATATTTATGATAAATCAATAGTTGATTCCTTTAAATCTTTGGTTTGCCACTTAATTGTGTCAATCAATTGATTTTCTTAGCCATTTTCTGAGTTGTTTTCACTTCAACATCAACATCAATCCAACTCTTTTATATTTTTATATTGATAAGCCACCAACGGCAATTCAACTTAATTAAAGCATTTAAATTCACGTGCCTTAACTCATCAACTATTTAAATTCAAGATGGCCAATTCAGTTTGGGTGATGATAAAAATTCCTGCTAAAACACCAGAGTTAAACAATCAAATCATCGATTCCAAAAAATCTAACACCAATTCAGGTAGGTTAAAGGAAAGTAAGTTGTCCTTTAATTTAACAGTAATAGTTTGAGTAATTTAACAGTCAATTCGATTGAAATTCATCAATTTTTAATTGTGATCTTTCGACTGAAACAAACAAAAATGTAAATAAAAGTATTAAAATGGCTAGGCGATGAGTCCAAGTAATACATTGAATTGTTAATCAAATTCAATCATTTTGAATCTGTTTGAATTTTGTACATTTGATACTGAATTGACTGTTGATTGTTGGAAAGTTAAATATTGGTTGCGAGCCTTTTTGTTGCGCACCGAAGGGTTACTTGAACAATCTCTTGTAATTGGTCATCTTTTGTGCAGTTTTAAATGCTGTTTCCAATGGGTTACAATTTTTGGAAATTAAAATTAAAATTCGAATGAATAAAACGAAAAGCAGAACGATATAACTTGATGAAGCGAACGTCTCCTTTTCTCTCACATATCAACCAGGGGAGAAGAGCCTACGTTTCGCTCAAGAACTGCTTCACTTTATTCTTGCGAATTATAATTTTGATTTCCTCAAATTGTAACTCATTGGAAAGGGCATTTAAAACTGTACATAGATGACCAACTACAAGAGATTGTTGAAGTAATCTTTGGGTGTCCAGTCATAAAGTAACTCACAGTGATCCGAACAACCTAATTGATTAACTTAAAATGATTGACAACTCTGACAAATTGTTTCTTGATAAAAAATAAGTCAAGGAATAATATGGGTAAACAAATGTTTATTTACTTTCTTTGTAATATTTCAATTTGACAGACAATTACCCACATTAACCTTATAATTATGAATTTTATTAACTAAATCAACGTTTATTATTGATGAAATCTGCAGCTTAATGATCAAAATCGACTGAAATCTCAGCCAATTGCTCAAAGAATTGCATTCTCAGTGGCGATTGCTATTTTAATTGAACACAGCACGAGGATTGAATTGCATAAACCATTTTTTAATTTGAATAATAAACCATTTTAAACCAATTAAATTTTTCTATTAAATTTTTAGCTCAATGTAGATGTAAATTATTTTTAAACTGGTATTCGGTTAATCGCTGAATGAATCAAAATCAAGGTTCATTGTCTTTCAAATTTCATCTTACAGCTTTCAACAATACCAAGTTGTCTTCATTTCAATGAATCCTTTGATAAGTTAATTGACTTTATACAAGATTTTCCATGTTTAATCCAGAATAGACTAAATACTTCCGATTAAGATTAAAAAATTAAAATTAGGAAATGTAAATTAATTTGACTGGATTTCCTGTGAAATTAGGTGTATGACATACGAATGGTTGATCAATTTTCTTTCAACAAGTCGCATCTTTAAATAGCGTGTTAATCAAAGCTGTGATGATGAAAAATGGTCTTTGGTTTCTAGTCAACACAGCCAATTGTTTGTCATGTTATTATATTGGCCTGTCATCTTTTTATTTGTGATCATCATGATGTGACACTGAAAAAAACCGGGACTCTACAATATTTTAGCTCAAATTATTGACAACTTAATCTCGACAGATTAGTCTTGAATCACCAAGATCGGAACTCTAAGTGCAAATATTAGATATCTATCACGTTATACACATTTGCTATACTTACATTTTTAAACTCCATATTTTGTTCGATATTTCACTACACCTGTTAATTATAATTGAATACTAAACTGATATTTGATATGATAATCGGCATTCTTTAACAAACTCAAAAATTCTGATAAATTACTTAATATTTTTTTTTATTCACAGCGAGCAATTATCTGGCTCCACCTGGTATCGAGGAAAAGAAAAAAGAGCCTATTGAACCTTCAATTCAAACGGTAATTGTGCTAAAGGGTTTCGTTATTTATGTTAAAAAGTTTATTTAATAATTTGATTATTGTCTCTTCAAATATCTAATTAATTTTATTCTTTTTTGATTCAGATTTTAGAGAAAACATTGGAAGAATTGGAAATTAACAATGCTGTTTGGATTAAAAATACAGATGGTACCTTTTTTCATGTCTATTTCGCTTGTGATGTTGATGACAGCGATTCCATCATTCACCATATGCAAATCCAAGGGATTGGAAGTCTTCCTCAAACATTTATCGGGTAATTATTATATCAGCCAAACAATTTACTCTGACTGGACCATTGTCCAAATTTAGTCTACTCTCTCTCTCTCTCTCTGAATAGATTATACCTGTAAGTTTACAAGACATCAAAATAGTGAAAAACACAGTTAACAAACTTTCTTTGTTGCCACAGTTTAACTTCCAGGGTTGATTAATAAATTGACAATCGGTTGTACCAATAGTCCCAAGCCCTTTGGTAGGTATGACCTCAGTTGCTCAAGCTTTTCGATGATTATCAGTCCAAATACGTATGGATTAGTCATAAGGTCTTGATCACGTTCACTAAAGAATAGCGATGAAAACTCCTTAGGCCATGATGGAAATGAAAATTGATGAGATTTGATCGCAGTTGGCAACCCAAACGGAATTGAACTATTGGAAGAGGAACTTGATGGTTTTGAGGAAGATGCCTTTTCACCTTTAGCATTCACCAAGATGTTAGACTCATGAAAAATGTTGACCAGAAAAACAATCATTATAAATGAGATTAATAGTCTAGAAAGATTCACAAAGGACATGATTTCTTGCTTTTTCAATATTTAGTCTATCAAGTTAACAGTCTTGGTTAGATTACTTAGATTAACTAACTTGTTAGAAATAAATTTATTTCTGCAAAAATTGAGTGAGATTGAAATCGAAGTTACAGCTGGTTGAGCTGATATCATCATCTAATTGTTGGATAGTTTGAGCTTATTGAGTTGGCTTGGACAAAATGATTCAAATACAAAACATACCTGAAAATAGATCCATTATTGAGAAGATAATCATATTCTAATGTTCACTTAAAGTTTTAAATATTGAATTCAACCAAGCAGTTAAGGATCTTGATCAAGTCATTGACATGCTTGCTTGTGTTGAATTTGAACTTCAATAAATAAACCTTGTCAAACAAAAGATGTTAGTGATTTTGTTAACACAGTTAATAGCTAAATAACAATTACAGTAATCTTTTTGTTTTTTTATATCCATTTCAGAATAATTCCGTTTACTCTCGCTTACCAATCTGAGGAAGATGCTGATGTTTTCTTGGATGATACAACGTAAATATGTTCATGATATATCAAAATGTATTCATTAATTTAGTATTTTTTATTCCATTATTTAGCGATCAAGTTGATTCTGATACAACTAAAAAACAAAGCAGTTTCAAAGCTATGCAAGAAAAGTTGTTGAAATCAGTTACAGCTCGGTTAACTGTGGCTCAAGTTGTGGCAAGTGTCCAATCAAATTCTGAATTGACTTTTGATTTTGTATGTTACGTACTTTGTGCCGCCTGGTTAGCTGCGTTAGGGTTGATGGAATCAGATGTAGTTACTTTGGTTGCATCTATGTTGGTATCACCTCTTATGGTAAATTAATAAGGATCATCTTTAGATATTGGAAACACAATTTGCTAACAATTTTTTCATTTTTAGGGTCCAGTAATGGCTATGACTTTTGGTTTAATTGTCAGAGATCAACAACTTCGGAATCTTGGAGTCCGAAATGCTATCATTGGATTTGCCTTGACTATTGTTTTCGGTGTGTTTTTGTTTTCTCAATCGTACTGCTCTTCTTATCAAACATCTCTTCATTATCATTATTTTAGGCTTCTTTTATGGCTGTATTGTGCTGAATTTTGCTCATGAATATAATCCAACAACAGTATGGCCTTCTCAAGCTATGAGAAGTCGAGGACAGTTACGGGCTTTATGGGTTGGTGCATTAGTTGCTTTACCTTCAGGAGCTGCAGTCGCTGTCTCATTATTATCTGGAAATCAAGCTTCACTCGTTGGAGTCGCTATTTCAGCTTCTTTACTTCCTCCATGTGTAAACGCAGTGAGTTTCCAATCAAATAGTGATACTAATTAATCAATTGAAACTCTGTAAATTAATTCATTTTGTAATTTATCGAATGATTTCGACAGGGTCTTTTATGGGCCTTTTCTACCATCAAAGCAATCAAATCATTAAGCGAAGATTGGATTAATGTTAACAATGTAACTTTCACGAAACCTTCCCTTGTTTTGGATCCAAGTTATGAAGTTTCTTATTCTACTAATTTCTCATATGAATGCTTCTGGCTTGGGTTAGGAAGTTTAGGCTTGGCTTCAGTAAATGTTGCTTGCATTCTTCTCATGTCATGGATATTGTTAAAGGTAAAAGTCAATTTAATGTGCGAATTGAAATTTTTAATCCTTCAGTTGACTTTTCTTTCATTTTCAGATTAAAGAAGTTTCGCCTGTTGATGAAAAATCATCACCAACTTCACGTTTCTGGAAAGAAGATGTAAAAATTGTCCGAGAATACAATAAAACAGTACGAGAAAGAAAACGTTCATTACATCAAGATTTCTTACAAGAATGGGCCGTAAGTCAAATTTCCCTGGTCAAGCATACAGAAGTGACCATTAATTGTTGATGTTTATTTCAGGAAATGAACGGTTTAGATCCTCAGGAACTATTGAGTGAAAATCCGGAAGCTAGAGCAGTACAGATGGCAACGTTAAGAGATATGGTGAAAGATGTCGAAGAGGATGAAGTTTTCCAACAGATTCTAATGAACACAAGGCCAAATGTAAGTTATTTTGCTGGATAAATCAAAGTAAAAATGCTAATTGCGTCTTTTATTATCGCAATTAGGCGGATTATATAAGGAAAGTGAGTATGGCTACAATCGAACCATTGCGATTCGATGGAACAAAAAACAAAAGTGCCTCAAATGTTTCCATTGACATGGAAAATCGTGATTTGAAATTTCAAAGACGCTCAATTGCTCTTCCATCGCCTTCGGCAAGATCTTTTCTTGGAAATCAGGTAAAATAACTATTCAGTCAATCTTTAATTTACAAGCTTAACTGATCTAATCGATTATCTTATCATTCAGACTGGAGACCTGTCACCTCACAATTCGCGTAGAGGAACCAGAAGTGCTAAAAACTCTGTCAGCACTCTTTCAATGTTGAATCAACCAACTACAGAGACTGGTAATCTTCAAAGGAGACAAAGCACTGCCTTGCTGAGAAAATCTCTGAGAAATTCTGACCATTCTCCTTATAGTCTTTGGCCTCGAAGAAGCTCAGAAGCACATCGAATGATGGCTGTTCCACCAGGCCATGATTTCGGTAGAAGAAGTCGCAAAATCCGTTCAACTGGAGAGTTTTCCGACCACGATTGATTATGACTTAGTTTACATTATGAAAATTTTTGAAAATAATTTGAATTAGAGAAGTGAAGAGGATTTCATGATCAACTTTCTTATCCAAAATCATTGATTTCACTCTCGTTATATTCCTATCATTATTATCGTTGTCGCTAACTGACGCACAAATTAATTTTATTAAATTAGCAAAATGTAGATTTGCTTGCGATAGAGGACAGCATTAACTATTCAATCTACCCAATTGAAAGCTGTTAAACAGTAACCCATTTTTTGTCAACAATTATTCATGAATAAAAGATGCAAAAGTTGATGAAAAACAAATGGCTTGTATTATTTTGCATTGAGTTTTTTTAAACTGAATATCACTATATTTTGTATTCATTTTATGTGAAAAATCTTTACTTCATAGCCTGGAAAGGACTTAAATTGATAATAAATTGAAAATCTCTATAAAATTTTCGCGTTCGTCTTGAATGTTTATAATCGGTTTTAAGCTAAACAAAATATCGTACTGTCCAGTGAAAAAAGGTCATTAGAAGGGATCCACTGTCTTCATTTTGAATGATGAAATAAAAGCCAATTATTTGAACTTGTAACATGAAGTCTTATCAATTCTTATCTGAATCATGCACTAAACTTTGTACAATCATGTAAACGTTTCACCCAAACTGAATACTTTACTCAATGGATAACAAAATTTGTTTGCAATTCATGCTATTGGCCATATTTTGCTTTGTTGTCTTATACTCAAAGAGATTTCTAAATCTCTTTTGCTCTAATTGTTCTGAATCTTTTAATTTAAATGCTTTAAATCATTAGAAAAACATTTTAATAAGATTTAATCGGATTCAACGATTTAAACTTCTTTTTTGAGGCCATGTAATTAAACCGATTATTTGGACTTAAAACTACCGGGAGATGGCGCAAACTCCTTTTCAGCCAGGCGCAGTTTGGTGATTTGCAAACATTCATTAAACAGCTGAAAGTATTCTGTGCTTGTAATTAATTTTTTGTTAACAATTGTTTTTCGATTAATTTAATCACTTGTGTCCCGAAGATCTTTGAGTTTCGTATTTCATCACCTACTTGTAACTTATTTTAAATCATAATGGTAAGTAATATTCTAGTGAATCCTATCATTTACCCGCTCTTACTGATGACTCAAGTTTTATGTTTTTGCTACATATTTTTTTCTTTCTTCCAGTTTCATCGCAGATCAGAAAAGGATCTAATTCGACATAGCAGAAAAAAGAAATCCAGTTCCGATGCAGATCGCTCCAGATCCAAAAGACGACATAAAAGTGAACAGAGAGAGGACAAGATTAAAGACTATGATATTAGTATAAATGATAGAGATGAAGATGATGAAGATCTTGAAATAGAGAGATTACGACAGCAGAGAAGAGAATTAATGAGGAAGCTTGGTGCTTTAGAGGATGAGAAAGAATCCAAACACGAAGACGAGTCTGAACTCGTGAAGGAAAAAAGAAAATCAAGTGGAGGTAAGTCTAATTTTCTTTGCTTTCCATCTGCAAATATAATATATTTTTATTCATTCTGTTTATTTTATTTATTCTGCTTTTCTGAATTTCAGATCCTGAGCCAGACACCGATTTAGAACCAAAAGCAAAAAAGCCAGTTTTGGATATGTTTGCTGAAGATGATAATTGCGAAGCTTTCATTACTAAAGATGCTCCTGGAGAGCAGAAACAAAATTTTTACCAGCTCTCTCTAGCTCAAGCACCTGAAAATCCAGCTCTTAACGATAATTGGGATGATTCCGAAGGATATTATCGTGTTAGAATTGGAGAAATTTTAGACATGAGATACTCTGTTTTTGGTTATACTGGACAAGGCATGTTTTCAAATGTAGTCAGAGCGCGTGATAGCTTCAAAGAATCTAAGGAAGTGGCGATTAAGATAATCCGTAACAATGAAGTTATGAATAAGACAGGGTTGAAGGAATTGACCATGTTAAGAAAATTGAACGAAGCTGACCCAGAGGATAGATTCCATTGTCTTCGACTTTTTCGCCATTTTTATCACAAAAGTCATCTCTGTTTAGTTTTTGAACCACTTTCCATGAATCTAAGAGAAATTTTAAAAAAATATGGTAAAGATGTTGGACTTCATATAAAAGCTGTTCGTTCGTACGCGCAACAACTGTTCTTGGCTCTGAAATTACTTAAAAAATGCAATATCCTACACGCTGATATCAAACCTGATAATATTTTGGTGAGTCTAAATTTGTATTATATACTTCAATCTTTATTTATTTACATTTTAATATCAAATTCTAATTTTACAGGTTAACGAAAGTAAGCTGGTTTTAAAACTTTGTGATTTCGGTTCTTCATCTCTTGTCTCCGAAAACGACATCACCCCTTATTTGGTTTCAAGATTCTACAGAGCTCCTGAGATTGGTAAGTCTTTTTAAACTTATTCCATAAAATGGAACTTTATTCAACAAATGAAATTACTAAAACCCTAATTGTTTTTCTTATTGGTCTCCAGTTTTAGGTTTATCATATGATTACAATATTGACATGTGGTCTGTTGGTGTAACACTTTACGAACTTTATACTGGTAAAATTATGTTCCCTGGTAAAAATAACAATCAAATGCTCAAGTATTTTATGGATTTGAAAGGAAAAATTTCTAATCGAATGATAAGAAAGGCAGTTTTTCGAACTCAACATTTTGACCAAGATTATAATTTTTTATACAGAGAAATTGATCGGGTCACGGAGAAAGAAAAGATCGTGGTTATCGGGAATATGACACCAAATAGAGATTTGCAAAAAGAACTAATTGCGGACCAAGTTTTACGAGAAGAAGAGCGTCGTAAAGTCCTCCAATTGAAAGATCTTTTAGAAAATGTTTTAACATTGGACCCATCAAGACGACTCAAAGTGAATGAAGCTCTTGCCCATAAATTCATTCAAGAACGACTTTAAACTCTCCATTCATATTCATCCATTAGATTTGATTCTTCGCTATAATGTAATATACAAATTGATATATAAATATATATATAATGTATAATAAGCCAAGCCCTATCGCTGAACAATCACCATCTCAAGCCCATCTTAAATCAATTTTGCCTTTGATCAATGAAGTAAAATAGCACCCATTGAAGACTTAATTTACAATTTGATCAAAAATTGAGTCTGTTTGATATTATAAAAAAAAATGAAAAATAAACAAATTTATATATTCACGCATAGTGACTTTGATTTCTGAAAATTAATATTAACGGAGTTAAAAGACTATTATATCTTTAAAGTAATACACTGAACCAACTCGGCATGAAAGAATATACAAGCATAATGTTCAATGCGTTTTTAACCTTTTGCCAATAATAACTTTTGATGTAACTTTCCGTTGGTCATGACATTAAATTAAGCCATTATTTGTCGAAGAGGCTGATCACCTTTGAATCAATCTCACGTTAATTGGAGTTTGATTCAGTTGATAAATCTATTTATTTTAAAATGAATTTTACATCCAGAACATTTCAATCCTCTATATTAGGGATGCTAAATGAAAAGAAACTAGCTTAAGTGTCTAAAATTTCATTTATTAGTAGATTTCGGTGTGCAAGCATTTTTCAGTCTTTAATGCGTCCGAGAATGATTTTAGACTTGAGCTAAATCTAGTTTTGAAGGCCAATCTGAGATTGAAAATTCAAAAATTTTGAGCATAATTTGAATAAAGTAAAATCATATTAATATAATGGTTTCATTTGTAAAACTCATTCGAGAAACTACTTAGAATGGATATTCGTAATTGAATTAAAATAGTGATCAAATTTATTCCAATTAATGTGGCATGATTCAAATCTAAATGTATTCTAGATTTTGTCTTTGCAACTCTTCTCTAAACTTACAATTCAGACTCGGACTGAAAACGTACAAATGGACCTACTATGAAGTTAACTAAAGCAATAGATGCAGTCCAAGGAGTTTTTATCCAAATTTACGGTTAACAGTGTAATTCTGAATCTTCCAATGCCATTTCAATTCACAATAAATAAGATTAGTGGAAGCGATTTCATCAAAGTTGACTTTCCATTCTCTAATTTTAAATAAATTACTTGATAACTTTCATAAGTATCATTGTTATTTAGCATCATTAATATTGTTGGAGGTATAATTATTCTTTTAATCATTAATATAGTAATTATTTTGATGATTTATTTGTTCTTTTTCTGTTCTTTGGTTTACTGATGAAATATTTGTTTTTTTTGCAACCTGTACTTGAAAAGAAAGATAAAGCACAATTATAATAATAAAAAAAGTTCGGTAAATTACAGATGAATGAGCGATTTGATTGCTACAAATTGTTGATATTAAAAAAACTTGTCTTTTAAATGGTTTACAAGACTCAGTGATGATACATGAAAATCGCCTATGTTTGATTGGAATCAACTTCTGTGCTTTTACTTTCAATGACATTTCAAATTTCAATACTAATTCATCAGTAATAATAACATAATAATTATAGTTAATAAATATGTCTTGATCCAGAAAAGGCATAAGTCAATGGTCCAGTTGATGTTGTCGTCGGAAGATGTTGATTACTATTATTATTGTTACTGTTATTATTATGCGTCCTATCAATTGGATACAATTGGATTGCTCCTCCATTGACGTTATGATTCAACAATGAATGGTTAAGCGTTAATGCCATCGATGTACCAACATCAATGACACTATTATTGTTGTTATTACTAGGTCCACTTGAGCTGCTGCTATTATTACTATTTTGTCCATTCATCAATTGATTTCCATCGATTCTTAAATTTTTCATGGCTCCTGGACTTGGACATGTAACCGGACTTGGAGCATCCCTTGATTCACCTTCAGTATCCGATTCACGTAGTTTATCAGCTGCTTCAATGGACTTTTTATGCATCCCTGCGAAGTCAAAATGGGATTCGCTTGAGTCATGATGTTGTGAGCTTTTGCGATTCTGATCTGATGATAATAATAATAACAAAGGGATGGAAAGGAAGGATTGTATATATAAATGGTTCGGTGATTTGAAAACTTTCTTCAAATGTGAGTGAATTAGGAGTTTCAAGCAGTGCAAAAAAATAATCAAAACAATAAGAGAAGAAATGGATTGCAAAAAACGTAAAATTGAGCATTCATTAGTCAGATTATTCAGGTGATTGGCAGCCCATGCAGATTCATTAAGCCATTCATGAAAACAGCTATTCTTATGACTGTATGATTTTTACACAACAGTTTAGAGATGATGATTGGTCCATCACACTCTACTACTGTTACATGTATAAGAATCACAGGGTAAATCAAATACATGTTTGTACATTCAATAAAATTAGGAAAGACAGTCAAGACAATTTAGCTGTGAAGGGTTGCAATTATTTTTGAGCAATCTAGTACAAGCAGTATAACAAAAGTGTTAGAAAGTTAACCATTTATTAAGCAAAGCAAGGAAGGGATTTGATTATTTGATTTGCCTTTTGCATCCAAGCCTCATATCAGAATTGTGTTAGATTTGTTAGTATTGTACATTTCATCGGTTAATCGCTCTGAGATGTACTTATGTTAAGCGTTAGTCTGCTAGTTAATTAATGAAAGTTATAGTATACCTAAAAGCCAAGGAGCACATTGAGCGTCACCATCTCGGGCACTTCTCAAAATACTATCAGGTAAAGGTAACGAGTGTCTAACCATTGCACCATAAAGCCCATATTCAGCCATAATTGTACTTTTTCCCCAGCATTTTTCCGTTTTCCTCCATTTCGCTCTACGATTTTGAAACCAAACCTGAATAAAGAAGAAAAATGTTAAAATCTTGTCTTAAAACCATGTTTAATTGAAAATGCAGTTCATCGCTATTGGGCTTAAAATGTGAATGAAGCGATATTAACATTTACATTTCACAAAGCAACAGATTTAAATAACAATTCAAAGAACCTCTTTTTATGTAAAACCAATGCAAAATAATTAATATTCTGGCAAAATGCATAACTTTGGCACTGAATAATGAGAAACAAATGACTTTGATCAAATTTGTCACCAGTGAAATTAAGATTTTACAGCTTTTATATTATTTGTTCAGTTCAATGACGATGAACATTGTCGATGACTATCAAAACTAACTGTTATATTTTGTATCATTAAAAGTAATTACTAATGTAATGCAAAAGCGTGTATAAAATGTGCTTCCACATAAAAAATAAGGTTTAGTGTTTCGTTGAACGCGTGTTAAAACTTGTTAAGAGACTAACAATAAACATTATAAATTATTGTAACATTATAATATGAATTTTTTCAATGCTGGTAACACAAAGAGAGGATCAAGTGAAAGTTTACAATTACATTTACATTTGTAAAGGTCAACAAGATGATGTATCACTGTTAAAGGTGAAGTGGATGTTTAATGATGTCAAAACGATATGTAAATAGGATTGAAAACAAACAAAACAACTTGATCCCAGAAGTAAACCACACTATAATAGCGATCAAACAACACTTTGATTTAGATCCTCGCCAAAGTCATCAGAAACAAGCTAAGATGAAAACACTGCTTAACAAAATCACAAAAGAGACTGTAAAATTGTCCAGTATTTGAAATTACTATAGATGTTGCCATGTTTAATGAACAGACAAAACAATACACCAAACAAATGTCATTTAATAGGTTGATTAACCATGAAAAATGAAGACAAAAAGTTGGTTTTGAAAAATACTGTAAACTATAATAAACATGGAAACAAATTGAACAAAAATGAGTAATTGGATCGTAATGTTACAAAAAGGTCTAACAGGGAACCCTTTTTGAGCGGTAATTTAATTTGAGAGGGAAAAATGAAAAGACAAATATGGGAGTCAAATTTGTCTCGTTAAATCCAAATAATGAAGTAAGTTGTTAAATTTAAACACAAAATTCAAATAAAGGTACAATTACAATTAAAAACTGAATCTAAAAGGCAAATACAAATCAAATAAAAAATAATAAAACAAAATAAGATATGAAATTAATGGATCGAATCTTTCAATAAGTTAGCAAAAAAAATAATAAGCGGCAGCACTTATATGTTTATGTGTTTATTTTGTACTTATTTAATGATTATCCAGTGATTATCAGAGTTATTTTGTTGATTTTATTAAACTGTTATGCTAACAAAATTAAATCACCATTTAAAATATAAAATTGAATCAATGGCAACAACATGACAAGATGGAAACAAGATGAAGACAAAAAAACACCCAACAGTGATCCCATTACCAAGGCCTAAGATGATGGAGATACCAAACTGGTTTCTTAGGGAACAAGTGAAAATATTATTAGTAAGTTAAAACCATTTGATTTATTGTATTTTTTTCAAGACAAAACTAAAGCAAATTATTGTCAAAATTTTGAAACACAGGGAAAGGGAGAGAAACAGAAAAAAAACAAACAAATAAACACATCTAAACTAGCAACAGCAACTATTAATACCAGAAAATGTTTCGTTTTGTTTAGCATTGATTTGACACTAAAAGGAAGACTTAACCCAAAGAAAAGGGAAAACGATGATGAAGAAGAAGAAGAAGATAAAAGATGACAACTTGATATCATTATTATTATCATCAATTGTTATAGAGTTTAAAACTAACTCGATTTTATATCGTATAAGGTTGTAAAAACATGTTTCAATAGAGAGACGGCAGAAGAGCCAGCAAAGTTATCATCTCGACTTGTTATTTGATAAAATCTCACTCCCAGTGAGTCTTTTTTTTATATAAATATATATATTTTTCATTTGATACAAACAGTAAAATCACAATTTGATCACAATATGAATCTATACTGAATGCTGTTTTCCTTTGATTTTGCTGCTTAATTTAATTCAATACTCTTCTTGTTGCTTCAACCTTTGCCTTGATACATTAAGTGATATATCTCAAATTAAATGGCCTTTTATTATTTACTGAATACCATATAATACGTATTCAATTGCGATCAACAGTCAATGTAAATGTTAAAAAGATGAATGGTACAAATGTAAAAATGATTTGACATGATTACAATTCACAATTCAATTTCAATAGTTTCCTGTTTCCCTCTCAATCTTACCTGGCCAACCTTAAGATTGCGTATTGTTTTGCCTGCAATAATCATACCTAAATGATAACAATATTTGTGTTGTCAATTTGTCAAATTGTAAAATTGAGTTGCTAAAGGAAAGCAAAATTGAAAGCCTTTAAGATCAAACAAGGTAACAAAATTGACAACAGTTTTGTTTATTGAACAAAGCTTATTCATTACAACGTCTATTCAGTGACAGCTTTTAACCATTTTGGTATGTTGCTGCTGTTGAATGATTGTTAACGACAATTTAACCTTTAACTTGGTTAACTTTAAAAAGGTGAAAATACAAACTGGACAAGTGGACAACTTTAATGCCTATCTTTGGACCTTTTCATGTCGCCTAACAATATCTTGTAATATTCAATTGAAATAACCTTTTTTGTCTCTCTTTACCTTCCCATGATTAGATGATGAAGATAATGTTGTAATGATTTCAAGATAGTAATTGGATTCAAGTTTAAGATTGTATTGATTGAATTAATGATTGAAACTGATTTTTAGCGACTTTTGACTCGGGAAATTTGAAACCTTTTCAATGTAAAAGTGTCTTGAATTACAAATGAGTTTGGTTAAGGTAATAAAAGGGTTGCAAATATTCAACCAAATGTTCAGTTGTTATGTGAATTATCATTTTGAATGAAGCACGCTTTAATAGCAATCACATTTATCATTATTATCATTATAAACCATTGAAATAAATTGTAAAGGCCTCAACCTTTAAACAGTTGCTTGAGCAAATATTTACCTTCATTTTTACACTTCAACATTCAATCTTTTTGCCTTCAACATTCAATTAATTATTAATTATTGTAATTGAAATTGTTTATTCACAAATTTAATCTCAATCAGACATGCTTCATGTGTAAAGAAAGTTAAACACAATCAAAAATCACAATTGAATGAAAATGTTTTGTTTGTATCACAGTTTTTGTTCAATTTGATTTCAGTTGTTGATTGATTTAATTGCTTTTACTAACCTGTATCCTATCCTCAGGTAGATCAGTTTTAACGGAAAGCATTTCCCTTGCATAAACATCAGGATAATGAGCATCTTTAAAGGCCTTTTCCAGTTCCTCCAATTGATAACTCGTAAATATTGTTCTGGATGAGCTCAAAATGGAAACCAGAATGAAGATGAACCAGGATAATATTGAACAGCAAGAAGAAGAGAAGAGAAGAAAAAAAAATAATACTTTAAGTTAGATTGTTTGAGTTTTACTGCAATATTGTGCTTCAGTCAACAACCATGTAATCCTCATACAATAGTATTATATCAAAATCACTAATCCAAAGCCCAACTAATATGATATTAAGTAACCACTAATCCCTTTCAATGAAACCATTCACAAGCTGATCATCCTCATCATCACCAACATCATCAAAATGGTTAACAAATCTGACAAACATTATGTCTTTACAGTTGACAATTGTTGTTAATTGTTGTTGATTGTTAGTATTGATTCTCTCACCTTTGATTAATCTCTCTTCCTCTCCTCTTATCCACCTCTAAACCTTGCTGGGTGATGCTGGGTATTCATTATATTTGTGAAAAATTAACAAAAATGAATGAAAGAAAAAAAACAAAACAAAATGAGGAGTTTGTTTACAAATGATTTAACAAGTCACAACCTAATCAATTGAGTTGATCAATAACTAATTCAATAATACATGCATTGATTCAGTCGATATTTATAATGGTTAGTTATTTGTTTTTTGGGTTCAAACCCAATCTCTGTTTACCAACTTGACTTGTTTACTTGGCAAGGTAATCCTTTACTTGTTACAGAAAACACTTACCTATGTCTTCTTTTTTTCTTTTTTTTCTTGCTTGAACTTATTGAACTATTATTATCGCAATCATTTCCTTGAGCTCCACTTAATCGGCTAAATTCACTCATAATTGTACCTAAATTGGGTGAAAAAAACGAGCAAAGTAAAGACTTCATTAGTGACTTGATTATAAGTTGTCTCTGCAACATAGCAACTGTACAAAAAAAAGTCTCCCAATTATGTTTGCCTATTTACAGAGGTAACGTTAGTTAGACAAATAGTAAACATTTTAACAAAATTAGTTTAATGCAATTATCATAGTTTAATAGTTAATGAACAAGTTAAAGTCAGTTGTAATAATTATTTTCTGGTTAATTGGGTTAATCAAGTTTCGCGCTGTTGATGCTGCTACCACCAAGTGTTCAATATATGCATTGAAGGAGGGAATCGATTAAAAAAATTTCTCGCTTTGTTTGATTTTTTTATTTTAACAAGTAATAATTAATATTTTGCTGATCTAATTAACCAATTATTATTTAATTAGTTGCTTAGCTTCGAGTGTTATTTAACTTGGTATTAGTTAAGTGTCTTTATTTTGCAGTGAACTTACAAATTTTGGTTATTTTGCTCGTCTGATCAACTCAACATGGCTGAACATAAGATAGAGAGGTAAAAGGTTTTGATTTGATTTTATATTTTTTCTGCTTAATTGTTCGATTGTTGTTAATTATTATTTCTTGTCTTGTCATGGTATCATGTTATATTTTATTAGCTCAAGGTGAATTTATTGAAAGTTAATTGAATCTTAAATTGATTGACAGACATTACAAGTTGAATAAGATATTGGCTTTGTGTTTTTGTTTCTTTAGGTATAGTCATATCATTCAACGCTTGTTAATCTAATTGTTGCTATTGATTTGTTGATTTGTTAATGATTAACTTGAACCAACTAGACTTATTAATCAAATTGTATTGGGTAAAGTTAAACTTGAGGCAAATTAATTGTGACAACTGTGCATTAACTGGTACATCTTGTTATTGTTTTTTAGAGAGTCTCTACATTCAAATTGATTAGGCTAAGCGATTTTGACAGTCAATCAACAGATCTATTGTCAACAATTAAGTTGATTGAATTTTAAGTTGAATGGAAGAAGAACAGTGTTAATCATTATCATAAAAAAAACTAATCATTTTGATGAAAACGGTGAAAGTTTAATCAATCAAATTTTACTCTTTCTTGTGAAGGTAAAAATGATTGAAAACAAAAACAAGCAAATAAACCACCAAAACTTACAATCAAATCGTACCTTCAATCATTATTAATCTTGATTAAAGCTAATAATAGCTGACTTTAAATCAAACAAAGAGCAAAGTGATAAGAATTTGCTCAAGAATTTGATAAAGAATTGAAATATGAATTGATTATTAGCTTTTTTAGTCCATTCTAGTTACAGTCTTCCCCATGCTAATATAGCATTGTATTGAAAGACAATATTAGCTTGATTCCAATTCACACATTTAATCAAACTTGTCACTTGATTGTTCAATGAAGATGATGATGGTGAGGATGATGATAAAGGCAAAGATAATGATAATGATAAAATCAAGCTACCACGAGTTTACTTATATCTGCTAATATCTAAAGCTTACAATATAATGAAATATAATAAGCTGTTGAAAATGGAAAGTTGATCGACCAGAATTATGGATGAGAATGGAAAGGACAAAAGATAAACATTCCAAACCATATCAGCTCATAATTATTATTATATTGAACCTTTGTACGATCATATGTTTATCATATAAATATTATTATCTTTACCAACTCTCCGTTTGTAGTTATAATATGAAAATATTTCAAGAATGTTAAAGTCTAGAAGGATAAAAGTCTAATATTTTTCCTTTTCTCTCCCTTTACTTTTAGGTTTTTAGACTGTTCAGTTTTCACCCATTTTTTGGGTTCATCATCCAAATTATTGGCTATAATCAAGTCTCTTTGGCTTTCCTTGGTTTCACCATAATTACAATAAATTGTCGAGGAAAAATTGAGATTCAATGGACAAAGACGATGCTGAGCAATGAACCAAATTGATCACATGGAAGAAGCTTCAATTTCAATCAAATCCTGGCTCAACTTAAAAACCATTTGAATGTTAAAGACTTAATTGTTGTTAGATAATTGTCCAAGATTAACACCTACCTGGCCTGATGCTAAATGTTGAGAGCAAGACAAATAAGGGTTAACAATAGTATTGTAGCTGATTGATTAATTTGAATCTTGAAAAGACCCAAATTGATACATAATGAGTAAATGGTTATAAGATGTAAAGATCTATTATCATCGTAATCATCAATTTTTCAACACTCATTATGTTATTATTTTTATTATTGTTATTATCAGTTATTATTGAATTGAAAGGTAAAGGCACCTGGTAAATGAAAAATAAAAATGCCAAATGAGTTTATGACAGGTTAACAATTGACATTGAATGAATATTGATTGTTAAAATGTGAAGGCGTTTTTGACTCTATTAACCGTTGCCTTATACTTTAATACATTCAATACTAGGTGAGTCAAAAGTCGCGCAAGTCTTTAAATCGCGATTGTGGGGCTGTGAATGCAACATTTAGCATCAGATACCATTGATCGGGGTGAAGATGATGAGGATGTTAAATGGTCAAAAGATTTTGTATTGTTGAAAGAGAGGCTTTTGTTGATGTGTCGACATTGAAAAGAGCCTTGACACAGCGACTTACAAGACTATTGAAGACACACACGGACTCATCTATTCAGTCAGGTTACTTCCTCATTAACTCGAGTCGAGTCAATCTTTTCATTGTAGCACAACAAAAAATAACATGAGAGCAAGATAAAGAAAGACATTTTCACATCTTCCCCAACAATAACACTCATCATAATAGTTGTACTCAAATAATTTATGGCCTTTACACGCGCGTTTATATACTTAGACCACCTTGTTTCCCTTTCTTAACCTTTACTTTTACCTTTTCCATCTCTAACCTTTATCTATTCTTAATCTATCTAAACTTGTTTATTCAATATACCATGTATATCTACATAATCTCTCTCTGGGAGTTAAAACCTTATTCCCATCCTACTATTACTATTATTATAATTTTAACCTTTTTTCTCCATTTTTATTGAAGGCAAAATATCAACCAACTTGACTGAGTTTTACATGGATGTGAAAAGGAAACAACAATAGATAGATTGACAGTTAAGGTGTTCACAATTTGATTCCTCTACTTTAACTGTTTACCAAACTATAATTAACTTGACAAAGTAAAGGTATTACTTCTAGTCCCATCAAATTGCTATTTTAATTCAATTATTATTTTCTGTCAAACTTGCCACTTGTATTTGGCGCTTTTGCATGCTCAAGCTTTGTTTACTTGTAATTGTCCAAAACATTTACAATTTTAGCACTAATTTCAACCATTTTTAACTGATTTTTTTATGTTGTTTCGTTGATTTAGATTGTAAAATACTAATCGAGCCACTGGTAATGGCCAATCGTATTTAAATATGAAATAAAATGAAAATGGCCAGTGAAATGACAGCGTCTTGGTTCCCTCTATGATAAAAGCTAAGAAGGTTGAATCCCAGATACATAGCATTACAATGACAATTAATTAAATGGAAATATTGTCAATCTATCTTCATCAATAATCTATCATTTAGCCAATTGTTAATTAAATGGTTAGAAGAAAGTAAAAACAATTAACTCAATTATTGATGTTAATAAAAATATCTGAGTGACAGATGAAAGCAATGTTAAACCACAGACAATGTAATGAACCAGTTTGCTGTTTTTTCCTAACTTGAAATGCTGCTGTTGATTCTGTATTGTTTTAATTTACAGTTAACAAATTACATTGTTAATCCAAGGATGGAGACGATTTATAACTGGATGAAATGTTGAACCCAATATAATTGGATAAACAATCAACTCAATCATTTTCTAAATCTATATACCAAACCTAGCAACTATAAAATAATGAGCTTCAATCAGCAAGTTGAAACAACGAGCAAAAAAAAAGTGAATCGATCCATCATCATCTCATGAATTCAGTTTAGTTTCCCATGAAAACTGGATCCTCCAAGCTTTACCATTATTAGTCAACTGTGTACCGTTTGTCATCCTCATCATCCCTATCATCATTAACCTTTGTTTTCCTTGAGCAGAATCATCTCAGGTATTGTGTTTTCACCTTACAAGAGGCTCTTCGTTGTTTTTTTGACAAACCCAAAGCAACACAACATGAATGAACGCACAAAAAAAACATGATACTTAATTAACCTCTTGCAAGGTTAATAGTTTAATTATTAAAAACTAATTGTACTCATCAACGGTGATTAACATAAGACCAAGTTTAACAATTAATCATGTTAAAACACTAAACTTGAATCAATATTTGGGTTCAACCTTTCACCACTTTTCTTCCTCTTCTTCACCTATTTCCACCTTTTAAAAATAAACACAATTTCAATTGATTACGAATAGGAATCTAATTAACATTTAATCATCTTACAATGATATTGATGGAAGGCAATGATGACGATGCCTTTGTCACAAAGAGACTTGTCAATCTCAATGTATTAATACAATGAATTTCATAAATTTGGTGACATCTTTTTGAATTCATATCAAGATACGAACTGAAAAATCCTCACCAGATCCATCACCTTCCTTTATTACACTCTTAACATGAATATATGGAGAAATTAATTGAATGTAATGAAACCAATGATTTTGTTAAAAAAACATTCACCTAATGTTAGAGGTTAATGTAAAACTGGAACCAGTTTAATGAGCATCAAAATTGGTTATTATTTTATGGGAAAAAATTCTGGTTCAAAACTCAACTAAGCCTAATATTTTTAGCTTATCCTGGATTCAAAATTAGCTTTCTCTAACCAAGGCTGGTTAAAAATAGGGAAACTTTGTTTTTTTTCTGGTTTATTTCATTTCCTATTCAGGTAATGTTCATCCATTCAGGAAATACAGAACCAGAAAAGGAAACATTTTGATAAACATATTTTTGGTATTGAAAGATGGTCAATTTGGAGCAAAAATTTAACCAGTAAAAGACAAATTTCACTTTGAATAATCATTTTCACAGCAAAAATGGCCAATGAAAGGTGAAGACATGGAAATAGTAACAAAAGGTTAACCTGTTGATTGATGTTAACTAATCAAATTAAGTTGTCAGGTTAAACGTTTTTCACTATTATTTTGGTAATAACACAAATAACAATTTAAACTGGTTAAAGATGGTGATAATCATTTTTAAAGGTGGGATTCCCTGAATTATGGAACAAGAAGAAGAAGATTGAAATGGAAAAAAAATGTTTTACCTTTTTTGACAATCTTTCATCACCATCTTGATGTTGATGATTATCATGATTATCCTCTTACCATAAAGTCAGATAGCTAAATGTAGTTTAATAATAATGTACTCGTAAGTGTGTAATGAGTAAGTCAAGTGAGCAATTAACTAATTGAGAAACGGTTAAAGGGTGCTTCAGATGAACATGAATAGATATCACCAGGTAATGGTCAGATAATGTGATTTATATTCATTCAATTTATTCACTGTGTTTCATATCCAATGAGAGATTCACTTTTCTCTCTCTCTCATTTATTACCAATATTTACACAAATCAAGACCTTCATCCTCATCCATCATCCTCATCATCCTAATAATCATCAGTTAAGTTCACAGTCATTAGTTTCTATCATGATTACAACTGATTCCTCTTCCCTTTAACATCAGTTATCAACTTCAAGTGGCTTCTTGTTCCAATCATTTCAAGAGTTATACAAAGACGCCTGATTATTTCATCATTATCTTCATCATTTTTCTTCCTCATCTTCATCTTCATCTTCATCTTTTTTTTTCTTTTTCTTGCTGTTCTTTTGTTGATTTCACAATTTCTTCTTCTTCTTCTTCTTCTTGTTCATTCAAAATTCTTAGACTTTGATTCTTTGCCTTCTGTTTGTTAATCATTATTCTTACCCATTTCAATGGCTCAGTTGGAGTGAACACCTCGTTTGACAACTTTAATCTCATTGAGAGATACTTACCAAGAACAAGGGAAAAAGGTAAAATTATTATCATTATAATGATGAAACTAACATTGTTTACCTTATTCAGTTTCTTTTACCTTTACCTTTACCTTTTTTTATTGAATTATCATTTCAACTTTTCTTTCTTTCTGTCTGATATTCCCTGTAATTAGTCAATCAAACATTAAAGGTAAAAGCTGCTTTTGTTTTCCTGTTTTTTACAGCTAAAATTGACTTCAACCTTTATTTTACCTTTTACCTCTATTTACATTTTCAAATGTTTATACTTGGGAAATGTTTACAAAATTTCAATTATTTTCATCAAATAGGCAAATTATTGAAGAAAAATTCAATCAAATCAATAATCTGATGAAAAATTTGAAACAATATTGGACTTCATTAAACAATTCAGGAAAAATTATTGTATAAATTGAACTCAAGTTTTATTGCCTTCATTTTGATGGCATTCAAAGTAATAAATAAAAGTTAGTCTTTATCAATGAATCGTGTTTGATTCAAATGCTTTAAATTATCGCGAACGGACTTGAAGCAAATTACGAATTGTTTAAAGACTCGAAATACAAAAAGAGAAATGCAATTGAAGTCAATTATGAAAACTTGAATAACCAGAATGGAATCTGATCTTCTCAGATTGTCTATTATAATTAAGTATTAGGTGACTCTACTTTACGTTATCGGTTGATCCGAATTTCGGCAAAATTTTGGGACAATTTTGTAGTTGCTTTTGTTTTGTGGAAACAGTCGAAGTAAAACTATTCTTACCTGCAACTGAATGATGGTTAATACCTGACGAGGAACTTGAAGCAGTGGCTGTTGTAGGCTGATGATGAGGATGACCCTGTAATCCTGACATGAGTGCAGCTGCAGCAGCGGCTGTGGCCGATGGTCTGTACAGGTAAGCACCCAACATGGAGGCTGAAGTAAAGGCAGAGAAACATGGTGCAGTTTGTTGTTGTGCTTGTTGTTGATGGTGATGATGATGAGCAGGATGGTGAGGATGATGGTGGGAAGGATGGTGAGAGTGTTGAGTTAGATGATGAGCATGATGATTGGTTGTGGTTGTAGTTGATGGAGATGAGGTTGAAGCAGTTGGTGCAGTTGAATGATGTGAATGTGACAAGGTTGGGCCCAAAAGAGCCTCTCTTTTACCAGAATATCCATTTAATGAACTTTCATACCAATTGATTGATCCATTGGTTCCATTGGAACGAAACTCTGGTGTCAATGAGTTATTTGGTCCAGTTGTGGGTGAGTTAATTGAGGTTGATGAAGGTGGTGATGATGATAAGGTTTCATGGTTAGTGGTTACCTTGGTGTTGCCCGGTGTTGGTGATTCGTGATTCGGTGAATTCCAGTTGATTGGAGTTGCCGGAGTCGGTGTTGTTGCTGGTATTATTGTAGTTACAGGTGAAGTTGAAGGTGAGTTGCGATTATCACAATTGATGTTGTTATTGATGATGGTATTGGTACTGTTATGGTGGTTGATTGAGGAAGTTGAAGATGACAGTGATTCATCTAGACCTAAGATTTGTTGAATATTGAAATGGCATCGATTAATTGGCAATGAGCTTGGAGTTACCATGATTGCAGTCTAACAATGTTTTCAATTAACAATTAAATTTTAAATTCAATTTTACATTCAATTTTTTCTGATCACTTGAAACTCTCACAGTAAGCAAAGGATAACAGGATCATGTTGTATCACTTGGAGGTTTGATGGGAAATTGTTTTAAACAATTGTATCAATCATTCAATGGGAAAACAATTTACAAATGATCAGAATTGCAATCTGTATTAAACTGCATGGATTGAGAAAGTTGATTAAACTGGGCTGATTGTTGTATTAGTTGATTGTAAACTGATGGTAAAAAATGAATCAAGTCTGTTGATGGTTAACCTTAGTTACCGCCTGTTTGCTGCTCCAACTCCACCTCATAACGACTCCACATCCAATAAGAGTTACCATTTGCTGTATATAAGGTGGAGTTTAACTTGAATCTAACAATTTATTAACATAACAATCAAATTGATTAACTAATTTAATATGTATTTCAATTTCAATTTTGTCATCTTTGCGTTGATCAGGGGAAAAAGGTCCACTAAAATAGTCAATTTGGTGTAACAAACACAGTTGATGGTAACAATGAGAAGCAAAATTTAACCCAAAAATGGTGAAAAACTAATCTTGCTGTTAATTAACTTTATTATTTAATCAAAAAATTAACATCATTTAATCACTCAAGTTTGTCTTTAATTAAAGTCTAACCTTTTTGGTCCGATTTCAGGACATTTTTTCACTTGTTTTTACATTCATTTGATAATTGATCAATTTTTTTGATTTTTTCTCGCGTTTCATTGGCAATTAATCATTTCAATGTTGGAGTAAATTTTTTCATTCATTATTGCAATTTATTGAATGGTTGAGTTTAAAATCAATTTTTTCATCTTATAATGATAATGATCATTATAACAAAAAGGTATAATAATTACAATATATTAACTTGTGAAATGTTGAGCAAAAAAAGTGGGGACAAAAAATAGAGTTAATAAGGGCACTTTGAGCGACTTTTCAGGATAACGTGACAAAAGATGTACAAATTGTCACGTTCCTTGATTTACTCCAATTAAAATTGTATTGTAATGCATTGGATGAGCATGAGGATGAGTTGGTGGGTGGTAAAGGAAGACAATGCCTTGTTATCAGCATCACCATTATCATCCAATGTTCACCAGGTTTACATTGAAGAGAACTAAAATAACAAGAATTTAATTCATTACAATCTTTAATAAAGTTCAATGGCAATCTCAGCATCTTAATCAATCCAAGCATCTTTGATCATTTCAACATTTTTTTAAATTAAATTTAAGCTCTGAAGGTTAGGGGACAGAGACAATCCTTCAACCCAGCAAAGTCACTCTCTTCCCATCAAGTTGAGTCTACTGCAAGGCTCTTTACGGCAAATGATTTTCATTATTTTTAACTTTCTTTTTCAATGATTTAAGTTTCAATTTTTAATTGCAATTTGATAATCATTATTTTAATGTTAATCATGATTATTGGCACAATATTTTCATCACCATTCTTTTGATGAAAATAATTGATTCACCTTCTTTGTTCATCTTAATTGTGATCCTTCATTGATCATCACTTTAGTCCATCATTGATAGACACACTTTGACCTCCCGAGTAGACCCAACCACGCACCAGACACACACACACACTCACACACTCACACATACACACACACACCCTGAGTTGATGAAAAAGATAAGTAATTATCTTTTCATTGTACATCATCACCCTTCATCTTTAACCCTCCATCTTCCTCCTCCTTCAACCCAAACTAGTATAGTGTCACCTTAAAAAAAAGCCTTCACCATTAAGGTTACTCCACAGTATATTCATTGTTGGCATCATTCACTTTTATCCTCATCATTTTTTTCCTCCATCATCATCTTCACACACAAAATGGTAGAAACAAAAATTAGCAAAACACTCATTTACTCACTCACTTACCTCACTAACACTCACACTCACACAAAGCAAAGTGTCAAATTTAATTAATCAATTATAATCAATTACTTGCAATTACCAAATGCCTTTTGAATCATTTAAATGTTTACTTTTCTTCTTTATTTCCATCAGTTTGAGAGCAAAAAACCAATTTACATGTTCACCTTTTTTTCACCTCCCTTTTCATCCTTTTCATCCTCTTGTTCATCACCTTTCCAATTGTTACCTTTGTAAAAACCTTTTCTTCCTCTCCTTGACTCACTCAATAATAGTAATAATAATAAATAGTTCTTGAGGGAAATCATGAAGACTGAAAAAGCCACTTTACCATTACACATTTGTCAACTATTGTTAATCATTAATACACTGTTAAAAGAGTCTCACTTTTTAATCTGAAAGATAATTGATGAATAAACAAACATGAAGCTAATTGACTGTTAATAATAACAATAATTATCACCAATTAACAGTAAAAATTGTGACTAACAATCATTAATTTCATTTCAATGAGATTCACTTTTCTTCTGGTTCAATCTTTTTCACCTTCTTCTTGCCTGGTTAACAAACATTGTTTGCTTCAACAAATGTTCAACAACAATCCAACTTGAAGTATCTTTTCAATCCTATATTTTGTCTTCTTCTGTTCATCTTGATGAGGATGATGATGATGATGATGATAAGTTGACATTTGAAAGAGCAAAGGAAACACTTTTGTTGATCACCAAAGGCCAACAATGGACAAAACATTTGTAATCCGATTTAAAAGCCCTTTTTAACATGTATTAATCTCACAGATTGAGTTGTAAGTTTTGTTGTTGTCTTCATCCGTTGTACATTTTCAATCACTTGGACATTGATGGACTTGTAAAGCTACAAAATAATAACTGATATTGATCTGTATTCACTTCATTAAACACCAACAATAAAGGTTAACCTGGCAACTTTAAAGTGTTTGTCTCTTCATTATAACATGAATAACATTTCAGGCCAACATTCATAATTATCAAAGTGGACAGCAAAGTGTAATCTAACTTTGTGACTTCAATGTTTGTATCAAACAAAAAATATGATTAGAAACACGCGTTTTGAGGTTGAATCTTTGTATTGAATTAACAATAATGATTGTAATTTGATGAAAATGTCTCGAGAGATTTGATCAAACAAATTGACTGTTAATGGTTAGAGTGAATGGCAAGAAAAATGATAATAATTAAGATCAATGGGAATGCTGGGAAGGACAAAAATAATGACTTAAGAAGTCGCTCAGGAATCGAGTAAATTGAAGATTGAAATTTTTCAATAATAATTGGATAAAATGGCCAAATTATCATCTTTATCTTCATTATTTGAATCTTTTTTTTTCTCATCATTTTGTTCAACCAAAGAGGATGCGTAAGGATAACTGGTTAATGTTACATTAAATTGGCAAGTTTTCAGTGATGATAAAGGAAAGACAAGAAAGAGTATCTTCATCATTTTCATCATCTATTGATCTGTCATTTCACTGGCTTTTCGCTATAATATTTTATATCTTTTTCACTCTTTAATCTAATGACCAAGCAAAGTGTTTACGACGCTGTTTGACCGCTAATTTAATATACTTTCACTTTTACAAGCTCAATTTCATCCTCTTCTTTCATCCTCATCTTCATCATGGAAACTTGTTTGATACAAAATGCTTCCTTCCTTGTTGACCAAAAGTGAACCGAAAAAGTTGCTTTTTTTGGTTGCTTTCATTTTCACATGAAAAACAATTGAAAGATTAGATGTTAACCAACTGATTTTCATGATGAGGATGAGGATGAAGATGAAAGTGTTCAACTGTACTATAGACAAACTGTATTAAATGACGAGGAAATACAAATTAATGGGAAACATATCGATCAAAGATTTGACTCTTCTTTTTGCTTCGCTTCTTCAAGATGTGTAATGATAATGGGTTTACTTAGCTAACTAGATATAATAATAAGTATTTGAAGGGAAAAATTGTTATCCATTATGAGAGTGATCAAGATGATAATAGTGATCATCATGAAAAAGGTTATTCACTAATTCAATGGCAATCAATTGGATAACATTGTGTTTAACAAAGCAAACCAAATGTGATTTGTTTTTCCGTCATTTAGTGGTTGCTGTTGAGTTAACTTTTCAAGTTAATAAAAGCTCAAGTGGATCCAAGCTGAATGGATAATAAAAAGAGGATTAATTGCTGATTAGGAATACCAAATCATTATTAGTAGATTAACAAGTCTCGATAACCATAATCCAGTCAATGTCATTGAAATTGAAATGTAAACTTGACTTTGCTTTTGCATTTCACTTTTGGGTTACATTTAATTTTAAATCATTTGGTGAGGGTTTAATTGTTATAAATTGTTTCTCTGTTGGTATTGATTTAATGTAATGTTAATTGATTTAGCAACGGGAAAATGAAACAGAAAAAAGTGATTTATTTAGATGATTGGAGTTAAAGGGAGAGATAAATGAAGGTTAAAGTGGTTGGTAATGAAACATTGGTTTCTATGCGATTAATAAATTGTTACGAATAATGGTTTACCAACAATTGATGCTCATATATCAAAGCTAATTGTCCTGTTAACATAACCAATATAAAGACACAAAAGTTGATATCAAAACTCATTCCCAGTCAGTTCATCATCATTCCCATCAAGAGAATCATGTTTTTATCTTGAAAATTACCCATAAAATTTGCTTTATAAATATCATCATCATAATAATCCTTTAAATCATCTTTCATTACTTTTCCCAATAATTTAATTAAAAGGTTATGTAAAGTGAAAAGCTTGGTAAAAGTGAAGACAAAAATAACTGCAAAACCGCACCCAATGGCCTTAAAATGGCCTCATAGAACAGCTGAGACTTGAGTTTACCTTTTGTTGATAAATTGATGAAACTTGGAACAAATCAAAAATTGATTTTTTGTTCGGATAAAAACATGAGTTTTGTTGCACTTCTGGCACAAAACTCATCCTCTTATTGCAACTTTCCGCTGCTCCATTAATATTACAGGAATCATTTCTTGAATCTCATGAGATGAAACAAGAGTATTCATCATTCATTTGAAAGTTTCATTCTTCTCGATGAATGAGCCATGAAAATAGACGATATTGATACAGTTGTAAGAATTGACTTTTCCTGCCCTTTCTTTCACTTCCATTAACTAATAATAATGATAATAAATATTCAATTCCCAGGTTGAAAATGATAGCAACTAAAGGCCCAGTAAATGCACAATCAGTCAACACTGTTATTAGATGTAAAAGGTGAAAAGGGAAAGCAAATGATTATCAAAAGTTAATTTATTAAATTAATTCAATCATTATCGGTGTTCATTAAAACTGTCTCATTAAAATTAAGTTCAATATTAATTTCTCATGAGATTGCTCCAACTAAATGAATGGCTATTAAAATTGTTATTTGATATTGATTTTTTGTCTTTTTACTTTTCTCCGACAATCAAATGTGTTTAGTCAAATTGGCTTTGCTTGGTTAATTTTAATCAATCATACTTTTGCTCAGCATTTTCATCTCGCTATTCATTGTTTTGAGCTTTAATTAAAATTTAATTTTCTCAAGACTTTCCTTTGTTAATTAATGAAGTTGATTTTGATGTAGACAAAACAAAATCAATGCTAATCAAGTAATAAAGTAATTAGCAAAGTAAAGCTAATATAACCTTTTTGTGTTAACATTTTTCCTAATGAAAAATAACGTTAAACATTTGAAAAGGGAAGAAGATTAAAATGATGATTATGAAGGGTTGAAATCAATTCAATTTTTACGCATTCCATAAGGATTACAGGGTGAATATATGAATGCAGGGAAAGCTTTTAACCTGATAATGGCTGTGATGAGTTTCAATCTCAATCTGAACATTCCAATTAACCACTTAACTAAAGCTAATAGTTTTGGGTTAAATAACTTTCATACTCATTAAACTATTACAATGAAAGTGAAAAAAGGTTTAACCGCTTTTTTTGCATCAGATTAATATTGTTTAAAAAGTGTAAAACACTTTTTGCTCGTAATTTTTTCCAAATCATCAGGACGGTTGAATAAATTCAACTGATGAAGGTAAATTATTATGGTTAGGATGATTATTTGAAACATTTAGAAAATAAAATTGTTTTCAATTTTCTTTTTCCACCAACAAAAGCGACAAATTTTCCAGTTGGGCCTTGATTAAATTACAGTTAAACTGGTTGAAGAGATTCAAATGAATTTAATTATTGTGGTTGCTTCTCCATTTTTTGTACTCCAACTTCAATCATAATAGGTCCTCGGGTGAAAATATTAACGGTACATTATGATGATAATGATGATGGGGATAGAAATGATCATCTTCTTCATCACCTTTTGCTTTTTACCATCTTTACCATCCAAGCATAATGTAATTAAACTATGATTTCAATTAATTTCTTTCACCTTTTAATGTGTATTTTCTTCTCCATCTTTTGGCCTCCTCCTTAACATTATTAATATTGCTTTGAATACACACAGTTAAATCCAACATTTGGTTTTCCCGGTTCCATTCATGTTGATGCGCCAAATAAAGCAACTGTAAAGATAATCAAATGTTTATATAGATTAATCATTTAACTTTAACTAATGAGAATCTGATTATTTGATCGTGATATTATTGTTACACTTAATAGATTATACCTGGAAGGCTTTGAATATGTTGATTACGTGCAAAAACATTTTCGGTGTGTGTGTTTTAACCTGAGATTAACATCGTATTAAAAAATAATATTGAATCCAAGAAACGCATGTAGTATCCAACACCAACAAGAAAACATCTAAAGTTAAATAAATTTGATTATTGATGATGATAATGATTGTTAAAGACAATAATAGTGTTCATTATAAAATATAAATGTGAATATAAAAAGGTAATAAAGCGTTTAACAATAATGTTTGAGTGTGTAAAGATAATGAGGAACAAGGATGAAGTCAATTGAAGGCGTGAATAACTTATTAGAGTAAAGAGTGAGTCAATGAGAAAGGCAAGAATTAATAGGGATGATAGGGAAGATAATGGATGATGATCAACGGGCGTGTTCAATGTTAGATAATTATTTGACTATGAATTCCCTGTAAAGAATAAAATGGTAATAATAATAGATGAAAATAATTACAAGAGGTGAGAAGTGAAAAACTCTTACTTTGTTAAATATTAACTAATCAATTATCTTGTATAGTTTGTCACTTACTTATTCCATTTCAATTATTATCATTATTATCTTCATTTAATAGTTAATTTGTCAATATAATTACCTGATGCACATTATTGATCATCATAGATGATAATCACCTGTATTAACCTACCAATGTGGATATTTAGTTCAAATTCAGGAGAAACGTAAGCCAAATTCAGTCCAAGTTCAATTTTCTTTGTAAAACTGGTGATTCTTTCTGATGAGCTTGCTTTGTTTATCTCTTCTTCTTGTTATTCTGATGAAAATATTTTCTAATCAAATATTATCTGGCAGCTCTATTGAATTGATTTCTTCCGATTCTCTGGAGCCTTTTATTCCCACTGTTTTACTGTTTAATAAAAACAAAAGCTAAAAAATTGATTTTGCTTTTATTGTCCTTGTATTTCACTGGTAAGAGATGTAATCTGTGTTGACATGAAATATGATTTTGAAATTGATGTTATCCTGAGTATCATCGTCATCATGGTATAATCGAGTTGTTAAAGTCAATTGTACTCCATTGTATGGTTGAGATGAAAATTGAGTTTAACAATAAGAAACCATCACTAGAAAAACGTTTCCCCCTGTATACAGTGAATAAAAGTATTATAATAATGATAAATTCAAGAAAAAAAAGGGAAACATTTATCTAATACAATTTGAGATTGAAATGAAAATGATTGTACAATAATGTAAAAGACATTAAGATGTATTCATCACTTGAATTATCAAGTCAACCTAAAACAATATTATTTCCATTTTATGTGTATTCCTCAAGGAAGGTCATCCGTCTTGTTTCCCTTTTACTTTTGGGACTTTAACTTACTCTTTGTGTGCATCTTTCGTCAATGATAGTTGTCAAGGCAAAAATATTCATCAAAAATGATGATCAAACACGACGATCATCATCTTTGTTTCTTCATCTTCTCCGGTCCATTAATTTTTAGCATAAGAATATTGTTTTTTGATTTGATAACAAAGTAACCAATCTTTTCACAAGATTAAATACGCCTTTGTCATCATCCTCAGCATCTAAAAAAATATACAAATAAACATTAGTATTGTTTTGATACTTAAATGTAATAATCTATGCAAGTTTATGGTTGTTAACATTTTCATGGTTAAATGAAGAAAAAACAAAGATTGTCTTCACCAAATCATCCATTTCTTTTTACATCATTATACCCATCATCGTCCTCATCGCCATCATCTTCATACACACGACTTTCATCAAAGAGTGAAGATGATGATGAAGAGGAGAAGGAGGAGTTGTAGGAGTTGGCATAATCTTAAGAAAAACCTTTTTTTTGATATTGTTAACAAGACTTTGACTGTTGATGCGCAACATCAACTTATTTGTTTTCTTACCTGACTTTCTTATTCCTTTATACCTGAAAAGAGCCTTATACTGAGCTTCTCCAACAATCATAGTTATTATCATTATCATCTTATTAGTAGCAGGTACAATCAGTTGAAAATAGTCATGAGTCTTAATATTTAAATTTACCCTTAGGAGGTCTTTATTAACTGGTATTTAGACTGACAACTTTAGGCAAACACAAACCATTTTAACCTTTAACAATCCCTTGAGAGTGAAGTCTGTAAGAATTAAAAAAAAGTGATTGGAAGGTGTCAATAAAGAGGAGGAAGAAGAAAAAGATGATGAAAGAGATGGTGATGATGGAAACAGAATGAAGATTATGAAGAGGAAGAGAAAATGAAAAGAAAATTACCATTAAAGACATGGGCATTTAACCATTACCAGTAGCTACCTACTTAATTCAATGAAGATAGGTTTTCATCAAAAGGTATCTGTAAGAAAAAGCAAGAGAAAGAGAAAGAAAGAAAAATTAGATTCAATTGACTTGAATAAAAAATGAAAAGTTTACTTGCCGTAATAGTGTGATGAATGGTTAAGATAATCAAATTAGATTGTTCCTTGATTATTGGTTTCCTTCCAATTCAATAAATTGAAAGATTATTGTCAACACATTATAAAATACAAATTAACTTTGGTTAACCGTTGAAAAATGAATTCAATCACAAGCAGTATAACAAAAAAAGCTAAATTCAAAATGACAAAGCCAAGCCTTCTTATGCTGCCTTGACGTCAACACAAAAAGCGGGCAATTTAAGTTAAGGGTTTAATTATTGAAATTTTTAATTTTCATTATTTAAAGCAATTACAATTTCAAGTTAAATTGATGATACAATTAAATGAATCGATAAGTCAAGAATATGAAAAAAAAGGTTAAACCCTACAACCCTTAAAGCTGGTAAAAACTGATTGTATGCCTTGAATTTGCGTCCATCAATAAAATAGACCAACAACAATCAACCAAATGACCATTAGTCTAATTACCTTCACTTTGACTGCTAATTGTTGAAACAATAACACAATAATAAACTTGATCTCTCTCCTTAGGGTAAATTGTATTGGTAAAAAGGACAACTAAATGGGAAACAGATGAGGATAAATTCAATGGTTGTTGATGTTAACTATTAAAACGGGAATCTCTCAAGAGCCTCTCATCATCATCATTACTGTTTTGTATCCTGTAATTCAGCTGAAACGCTTATCATCATCAAGTGTAAATTAGATTAAAATTGTCAACATAAAGAGTCACACAGGCAGACAATCATGTAATATAAATGTAATGTTTGATCATTTCAGTTCATCTTTCATCTCTGTCCTCCTCCCATCTTCCTCCCACTCTTGCCACTCCACTTCATGTCAACATTATTGAATTAAACTGAGCTTTTGTCCGTAACTTCATTACTATTTTGAGTACAAAAAGGTATCCAAAAAACGGATTCCAACTGAAAGTCAATTGAAAGTTAATCAATTTTAAATTGTATCCTCAATCATTAAACAGATAAACAGTGAACACTAATGGCGATGAAGAGACAAATAATCAATTTTCATTTACAATAATCACTTACACTTTAAAATAAAAGTCACTATTGCCTTTCAAATTGCTTGTAACTAAGAATAAATTATATTAACAATCAATCCTTTAGTTTAATCTAACAATCTTTATTAAATTGTCATCCAAAATAATCAAATTTAAAGGTGAAAAACATGGAAATGTTGAAGCCTTTAATTCACTTTCAATCAATTTCTTAAATCTTTTCAGTAAATCAGTTTAAAGTTGAAACAATTGAGAAGTGTGAAAAATGTTAATCAAAGTAAAACTCAAAATGATTGTAAACAGATTTAGTTTGTCAGTTGAAAATGCAATTATATTGTATTTACTGATCAACAATAATGTTCAACTAAATTTGATTGAACAAGTAAATTAAATTAATGGTGAATCTAAACAGGAATCAAGATTGACAAACTTAAATATTGTAAACAAAATGTTCAATGTAACCATGGTTTTAATGAATGTTCATCAAATGAGATTAAAGGCAAGTTCAGAGGAAACTGAATATCAAAATGAAAGTTGAAAGTTTACTTGAAAACCATCACAAGGGTTAATATTATTTAGCAAGTGATAATTATTATTAGACTTTTATCATGTGAAAAGCTTAATCAACCAATTAGTTGATAATGATAATAATATTATTAACCCGAATAAACCATTAATTTTGATAATAGAATTCATTATCTTTAGAAAAAAAAGACTTTCTTCTTCTTCTTCTTCCTCTTTATCTGTCTCATTGATTCCTCCAATCTTCATGATTTCCTGAGAAGATAATGAAATTCAGTTAACATGGCTACTTTATCAGCTTACAGGGAAACATGTGAAAAGAGAGAAAATTCAGTCTCTTTTTTTCTGTATTATCAGGAGAGAAACATTGCTATTAAGTTCTGGAAATAAAAAAAGATAAGAGCTTCTATAAACTCTGAAACTGTTTCTTCCTCTTTTTAAGAGGATGATGGTGATGATGATCAGTGATGATCAAGGATGATCATGGATGATGAAAAACCCTATAAATGAGCATGAGCTGAATATCATGAACTAGATGATTGCAAGAATTAATGGTTTATCATTGATATAATTGAGGTGAAATAATGTTCATCTTTGAGAAGCAAATGAGTTTAGGATCAACTTTAATCATAATTTGTAGCTCAAATTGGATCAACTAGCCACTAACAATTCATATTAAACATGGACATTAGACAAGATTCAGGGAAAACAAAAGATTGAAATTGAATAAGATTCACATTTAGATGTTAATTTTGATTTTCATTGTTACTCCATTAAAGACGATAATCAGTAGATCAGTCAAATGGGATTTGCTGCAACACTTCACATCACAATCCTTTTGTTGAAAAATAGTTCAATCGACAGCTAAATCGACCTTTTCACCGAAAAAGTTCTTTATTGAGGTTCTTTTTTCATAAGCTAGTCTGCCTAATCAGGTGCATCTGAATCAGTGTATTTTGAGTTGACACTGAAGCTTGAGTGAAATCTGAAACATTGAATATCAATTGATTGTTCTGTAGATGCAAAATGATATTTTGGTTAAATTAAATTGCAATTGGTCATTAAGAGTAAGCTTTTTTGTCATGATAATCAATTGGCAGTCAATTGGACATGATTAGTGTTGTTTTGGATTTGGTGCTTTACTTGGTTCAGCCAGGTTATCAATTGAACTGTATTATTTGAGATTGTTACATTTATCATATTCAATTGAAAGTCACGGATAAAGGTTTTCAGTTGATTTTGTTTCAAACTGTATTTGTTGTTAGACTGTACATTATGTTGTTTCAGCTTTCTTGGCATTTAATGAGTTTTATTGATTTGCTTGTTAACAAGATCATTAATATTTTTGTTATACACCAATTATAATTACTGAATACTTGTAACTAAATCATTATTGCTGAACCAGTAGTTTTGTTTAGCTTATTATCAACTTGTTTGTATCATTAATTATTGTATTGCCAATTTATTGGTTATTGTTGGTGAATCAATTTTGTCTCAATATTTCAATTTGAAATAGCTTTTGCCATTTCAGTTGATTCAATTGAAGAGACAATTTGTATTTCAAATGATATCATTTTAAACTCAACCCATTTCGCGGGTAATTGATGGTAATTTTGCTTTTCAATTTTTCCTCTTTTTTTGCGGACCTCAGGGATTGTTGAGATTCAAGAATGGATCAACATTTGTAATAATGTAATGATAATGGTTTAAACTGGTGGAAATGGTTAAAACAGTTGATTTGAGGAAACATTTTTTTATATTTTATTATATTTTTGTGTGATTTTTTCTCCTTCCTTGCTTGTGTTGTTGGCTTTAGATTATGACAAGTTAATCTAATTTACCAGTTGGTTGAGTTTAGCTGTCACAAGACCTAATATTGCAACTAAATCATCCTAAATTACATCGATTTAAGTTAAATCAGATTAAGAGTAAATCAAGAAAAGATGGGAACCCAAAAACTGGACCAGAATTAGCAGAGATAAAAATAATAACATGAATAATATGAAACGATTAACAATTTTCGGTTCAACAAGAAAGTTGCTTCAATTGAAGGTGAACCAATGTATCAATTTTAATTGTTGTAAATATTACATTCTATCATTTCAATTGATTGATTAATGTTGTAGACACTCTTTCAATTCATAAATTGATAGTGTTGCTTGTAATAAGATCAAATCATGTTTACGGCAAAACTCAAAAGACAAACGAAGCTAACAATAAGAAAGATTCAGCCTTAAGATGGGAATATACGAGTCACTAAACATTTTTATCAATAATAATGAATACCTTGATTATTTTTGACACTAACAAATGAAAATCAAACTATTAGATGAAATCACCAGATGAATTGAACATTTAAAAGTAATTCAAAACACAAATAATAAACAAAAAAGTCAACAAACTAAATTGAAATGGGAAAAAAGGTGAACTCGGGAAAAGATATTCAAGCTTACAGTGTCTCCATCTAACGATTAGAGTTGTTATTGGAGTTAACTGTTTGTAACAATTGCGACATGAAATAAATATGATTATGATCATCCTAAATCAGTAGTTGATAATAGGGATTTTGGTCAATTACAAACAAATGTATTGCTGATAATTCAATGATATTTTGGGCTTTTTTTATTTCTTGTACCTGTTTGTGGCCATGTTTCAAGAATCGTTACAGATCTCAGATTCGAGTTATGAGCTTTCTCAGACTAAAGAATCATAAGTTCTAACCCTCTAGGTCATTTAAGGTCAATCCATTATTTGACCTCTAAATGACCTTAGAATATTTTGTGGAAAGTTGGTTGAAAAAGTTTTAAATTATTTTCAATGCAAATAATGATTTGAATTTGAAGCATAAGTATTAATACATGGAGAGAAACTTTTGTTCCTAAAATCACCACAATCCAATCAAAACTCAAACCACTCAAAAATCTTTGTCATTCAGCATTTTATTATTCTTTTATGAAATATTACTAGGAATGATGACCTTATTGTGAGTATTTATTGTTTAACCTTTCAACATATATTAATATCTTCAACTCTTGCCTCTTTAGATCAAATATCTGAGTGCTCTCAAACTACCTCGAGATGTTGAAAGGAAATTATACATAAAGGCATATCTTCGTTTAATGCTCAAGCTACATCCGGACAAGAATGAATCGAAAAGCGTAATGTTCGCAGGAATTTCATGCAAAGAAACAACCACTCTTCATTCTGTCATCATAAGCAATTATAGACGATATAATTCTCCTACAAAGAAATCGTTAAACATTATAACTCATAGTTCGGATGATGAAGATTTGGCCACAAATCCAGAACCGAATGCAAAAAGTCAGAAAGATAATAATCACCCAAACTAGATTCAGACTACAGTGACGATCCAGAATTTGACATTTATGCTGATCCATATGGTCCACGGAGATTATATGAAATCAAGCAACATTTTTTCCGATCAGTCAGTCACCTTTTTAATTCATCTCATGTTAATATACAGGGCTATTCAACCTCAATTATTTCACGTTTCATTCAATATCTTGCGGAGCAGCCATGCTAGGTTACTTATATTGTAAGGGTATGCTTCTGAGAATTAAAGAACAATTTTTTCGAAGTTTCAAGGTCATTTGAGGTCATTCATTTATTTGACTTTCAAACGACTCCTGAAGGTTATTTAGAAGTAGCCCATACTTTTATCGCTATAAGTCCATCTCTTCGAAGTATTAATAGCAACTGGTATGAAGATATCATTCTCAAATGATTTTTCGCAAGATTTGGAAGAACTTTTGTAAATTCTCAGAGAGGATTGTTGACTTTTTATGACAAACATTTTGCAGAGTGAAAAAATGCGAGCTACTCGAAAATAACCTTCAGAAGCAGTTTTAAGGTCAAATAAAAGAATGTCTCCAAATGACCTGGAAAAATTGTTCTTTAATCCTTAGAAGCACACCTTTGAATATAAGTATCCTAGCATATCAGCTTCTCAAGATATTGAATGAAACGTGAAGTAATTGAGGCTGAATAGCCAACTATTACTAGGTGTTTATTCTTGTTGTTCTTAGCTGTGACTCTCATAGAAACCATTGTTTCTATCGATTTAGTTTTCATCCATTGGGTTTCAAGACAATCTTTTTTCTGACATTGTTTGTGTTTATGGTGGAACGATAATCATTGTTCATCATCATCATCAATCTTATTGTAATCTTGTCCTATCGAAACACAAAACAAGTTACTAGGATTGAATAATTTCACTAAACCTTTGTTTATTGTAATAACCATCAACAATATAGTCGCTAAGAATAGAGCACGAGAGGCACGTAAATACTGAGAAGTGTTGAAAGAATCGGCATACAGTAAAACCTCGCAAAGGTTGTACTCGCAAAGGTTGTGAGCGGTCCTGCCGCCTAGCGATATTGTTTGTGCAACTCTTTGAAATTATTAACATAATTGCATTGTAAAAGTGGGGAAAATCTTAAATCCCAAAGATGGCGTTGTTTAGTTTCATACAACCTTTGCGAGGTTTTACTGTATATGACATCGATTTTATTCTATGAGTGGCTAACAGAATGGAATAAGTTAATTGAAGAGAGAAATTAATTTTTTTTGTTTGTTGATAATTGTCCTTCCCATAAACTAACTGAAAATCTAAGCAATATTTCAATTGTTACCGTAAGATGCAACCTCTCATTGCCAACCACTCGATTTCGGTATAATTTCTAACGTCAAAAGGGTTTACAGGTCAAAGTTAATTCACAAAATTGATACAGAAAATATTGATATTACCAATTATTTAAAAAATGTTACATTACTTTATGGTATTGAAATACTAAACGATTGTTGGCAAGAAATTAAGCCACAAACTATCATTAATTGTTTTTCTAAAGCTGGTTTTCCATTAAAATAAATTTATTCCGCTATATGTCAACCATCAAAATACAACCTACACTGTACTCAAAGAGTAACAAGAGACTGCACGACGATGTAAAGGGTGTAAAATGAGTTAAGGGCTAATTTAACCTCTCGCTGATAGATGGCAATAAAAATGAAAGGCAAAGAGAGAGAGAGAAATTAAAAAGCAAATTAATCTCTTTAATTCAAAATTAATTTTTTATAATTTTTTCAAAATTGTCTTTCTTTTCCTAGCTTCTTTTAATGCCCTCTATCAGCGAGAGTTTAACTTAGCCCTTATCTCATTTCTCACCCTTTACCTCGTCGTGCTATCTCTTGCTCCTCTTTGACTGTACTGTACATGTATATATTGCTAGCTCCATCTCTCAAGGATATAAAAAGTTAAGCTATCGAAGTCAAGATTATCTTTCAGTCAATATTTGAAACGTGTAGTGGGTTAAATGGACATAAAAGGCTGATCTCCAATCATTCTTTATTGACTTTGAATTGCAATTGCAAATTAAGGTCACTTTTTCACAATCATGACATACACGATTCTACTGGAATTTATGAGCTGCTTGAATTTCGCTATTCAGATCATTATTATATCATTTCGCTATTATAATTATCAATCGAAACTTATCTTTGATTCGCCACCTTCTAACTGTAGTACAATTATTTATGCTAACGAAACTAGCGAAAGTTTCAGGATCCAAAGATTATAATCTCAACTATTAATACACCCTATAACAATCACGACCTTTAACTAGCTCTCCTTTGATCAATGTAAAGAAGCTGAATTTCTGAGTTGGTGGCCAGCTCTACTAACTAAAAGACGCTTTGAGCCCTGTAACACGCGGATATGATCATAAGTAATTTATTATTAATAGTTACGATATAATGGAAAAGCAAAATTAAGTCAGTTTTTAATGTTGAATAGGAAATGAGAAATAAACAAATTTATGTACAGAGTAGTGATGGTAATTACTGGTAATTGAAACAATGACAATTATTTAAGCAATCGGTAACCACAATTAATATCTATTTAAACTGTTAACCATTTCATGATCAGGCGTTGTATTAGATGTGTTTGTTGATTGAGCCCAAGATGCATTTTCATTGAAATGTCTCTCAATTGAATCTGAATGAAGATGAGGTGAAGATGAAGATCTCGGATAAACGGTAGTCGCCTGTTTAACCTGTTGATTAAGATGAACATGTTGAACCTGTTTCCCACTGACAGTAATCAACTCTAACCTTCGATGATCCCGTATCCCAGTGGGTTTAAATATACATCGGCAAAGAAGTAACTTCATCGATTCCCTAAAATCCTTCATATGGTAAGCATAAAGGATTGGATTAACAGCCGAGTTAAGGTGCGATAAAACAATAAAAGTATCAACCAGCCAAGCAGGTTGACGGAGGTTGAAAAAAGCCTCTAATGTATTATTTAAGTACAACGGGATCCAACAAAGCATAAAAAATACGACAATAATGGCCAACTTGCGAGCCTTCTTAACCTCTCGTCTATGATAACTAGTAGAAGTAACTTTACGTTGATCATAATGGTCAATCGATCCATTATTAACCATTGAATCACAATTGATTGGCAATTTACCAATCATCATTAAACAATTTTCAGATCGACAAGAGCCCGACTTGGTTGAACTCATTGAATTTGTATGATATTCATGTTGATGGTGACAATTGTGTGGACTGTGATGATGTTGATTATAAGAGCTGAAATGCTTGTGATTGTGATTATTGTTATAACCATTTAATAAATTATTACTCGATTTTCTTGATGAATTTTTATCAAACAAGGTTGATGTGTGAACCTAAAATGAATTGAAAAAACAATTAGTTGAATGAAATGTTGGTATAATGATTAGTTGATCATCTAAATACAATGTAAACAAAATGGCAACAAAAAAGGTTAAAAGTTAATCAAACAAAAGGCTTTTCTGGTTCAGCTTATCATTTTAGGTTTAAACCAGAAAAGTGTAAATCAATGTTAACCAGTTTTAACACAAAAGATTAATAAAATCCTATCAAAGGTTGATGTACTTTAAGATTAAGATGAAAATAAAGTTGACTTTACCCAAAAAAGAGCAGAAAATTGTTGAATATTTATCAAAATTTTGTAAAATTGAAATGACAGAAAATGGAGAATGAACTTTTGCTATTTTTAATATCATGAAACTCGAGTGAAATTGGAATGTTTATTGGGTTTTCTTAGAGTTCATTGAATAGACAAAGAACAAATTAATTTGATTATTAAATTACTTTTGGTGATTGATTGATTTAGTCCATAAGTTTCACTTGTATTTATACTTGAATGTTTCAATATCAATGAAAGTTATGAGTAAAGACGATAACTCAATAGATACAATATTTGATATTAACAATAAAATTGAAGGACAATCTAACATTGACCCTGAACATTTGATATCTCAAGAGATATTTCATGATAAGCTATTTCATGAGGCTTGTCAAAAGCAGACACCAAAACAGTTGGTGAATGGGGTGAAGTAAAAAAATGAGTTTAATCTTGAACAACTTTTCCTTTTTTTTCAATGGAATCAAAGTGAAACCAAGTTGACAGACATGATAATAAGTAAAAATATTAATAGTTTTATCGTGAATGTCTTGGAATAAAATGAAAGTTTTCAATTGAAATTGTGAACAAAAATGTCTCCAATTTCATTTGATATGAACCATGAAAAGGAAAGCAAAAGTAATTCAAGATTTGCATTCACAATTTCCTAAGTTAATACTGAATTCACTGAGCATTTCTTAATTTCATCCTTTGAATGATAACCAAGAAAATGATCATCTAAATGACGATCAAGTTCATCTTGAAAATTATGCCATCAACATGAAGGTCAAGAGATTTTCCTAAGAATCATATTTCCGAATCTTGAATCTTGACGTTAATATCAAGTTAGGAAACTGTTATTAAACCTGTGAATCAATTACTTCATGTAATATAAACGATGCAAGATCGTAAATGAGTTTTGCTTGAAACATTTTCTTCTCTTCCTTTTTCCTAACTTTTTATCATGTTAATACAATGTTCATAAAAGCTTTGAAATGTCCAGTTAGGACGAATCAATATCCGCTCACAAGTTAATGAAACTCATTGTTTACTTGATTTAATTGCAAACAAACAATGTTCAACATTTTCAGTTCACTTTCACAGAAACAAATTGCAAGCCTTTTAAGAAGGTTCAATCGATAATGTTGATCCAATGCTATCAAGTGTTCAAGGGTTGACACTTTGATAATCCTTTTGATACTCAATTATAAACTTTATTATCCAATTGGCCAACAATATCATTTATTATCTCAGTTTTACCTGGTAAAATCAGGAGTCAATTTAGTGGAGGAGTTTCAACTCCCAGCTTCAATTTGGGTTATTAAAAGTGCAATTATAACTGTCTGTTTCATTTTGTTTTTATTTGTGTCTTTCATCTGCTTTCAATCGCCATAATTGATCAACTATTAAAAGTGAATGAACAGTTGATGATATCATTGTTATTAGCTAATGTGACACAACAATGAGTAAATTGTTTACTTGCTTGTCATATTACTTGTTGCTCATCAAATTGTAATGAAAAGGACCCAAAAATTGATTACATTTTTTTTGTTTTCTTAATCAAACTGAGTACAAATGAGGAAAAGATAAATGTTTGATTATAAAATCGATCGGATAGAAACGTATAATAAAAGTAAATTGGTTGACCTTATAAATTATAAATCATTATTATTACATTGTATCTCTTATGCTCGTTATGGAAGAAGCTTTTGGCTGATTGTATTTAGTTGATGAGAAGAATCGTAATTATCATCATTTCATTTCAATTTACTATTCAATATTGAATGAAATCTATATTATACCAACTTCCTGTGGAATCTTTTTATCATCAGACATTTCATGATTATCATGTAAATCAATGAATAATGAAAGGATTGAGTCTAACTTTAAAGTTGCTCATGATTGTTACCAAGCTGGGAAAGGTGGTCAAACTGGGAAAAATACATGTTGAGGTGAAGTCAAAGATTTAGTTAACTCCTGCTGAGTTGATCAACTAAGGATTTTGATTGAATCTTGGACTGAATTTCAGATTAAAGTTCATCTATTGAGCAATTGGAGAGAAATGAGGATTTGTCTTTAACCAGATTCCAAGTCTAAAGCAACATTTACTTGGTCAACTCTTTCTGGTTAAATGTATATTTGGCTTTAAATTAATGGGTTTCATGTGTGATTTAGATGATCAATGATCATGTTTAAGATGATAATTACCACAACAAAATAGATTCGAAGGTAGGCAAAGAACATGATAAGTGCAGGAAAGACGATTGTGGCAAAGAATAGGAAAACCAGAAAATCATAATCCATAATTGAGACAAAAAAGCAATCCTTTGAAGGATGAGGTCCATTATTCCAGCCAAAAAGAGGAAGAAAGCCAACTAAAGCTCCAATTATCCAACAAGCTATTATTATGAATCGGGCTGCTGAACCTACAGAGAATTGAATGGAAATGAATTAATAGATTGACTTTCAATGTTCATCATGATTAAAGTGAAAGTAATTACAATCATCTAACACTAAATCAATCCATGTAAATATATAAATATATAATTGTATATTCGCCTTTTATATTTAACTTTACACTTCCATTGAAACAAAACCTTTTGGTAAACAAAGCGATAAAACAAGCAATTTGATGGCTTTTTATTTTACTTTGATGGTTAATTGAAACAAATTGCATTTCTCGATTGGTTGCTCATTAAATTAAGGTCAAACAATTTACCTTTTATTGGTAAATCTTTGGTTAAATGAAGACAAAAATTAAACTCTTACAGTCTGTGAACGATTAAACCAACAGAACCAAGAATAATTGTTTCCCTTTTGATCCTCTAATTAATATTGCTCGACTTTTTAATTAATTTATTATTAATTCAAGATTGGGCTGATCAACAATTGAAATTAACTTTCGATTAATCTGGCCTAATCAAGGTCTTAAAGTGTCTCAACATTTAATTTCAAAGCTTGGTTTCACGTTCAACTTACAGATCAAATAGTCTCTTTGATTGACAGTTAATTGAACAGTTAATTGTTTTTCGATCAAATTGTTTAATTCTAATTGTCATTTAGCTGATTAAATTGAACATTTAGCATGCATTTTGCATGCGATTGTATTAAATTATGAAACATTAATAGTCCAAGTTTGCAATACTTTTTGTTGGTAAAGATATGAAGTCAATTTTTATGATCTTTAATGATTATTATGAGTGAAACTGTTAACTGTTGCCTTGTAAATCATTAATTTAACGTTAATCTAATCAGAATTGTGTGATTTACAGGATTGGAAATGATTGAATTGCTCAAGTCATTAGAGTATAAATATTATTACAGTTAATTTACTAGCTAATTAGCCTTGAAAATGTTATCTATTTGCTTTCCTTTCGTTGCGAGTTTTGGCATGTTATTTTTGGATGAATGATGAATTAACCAAAAAGGTCGTTCGAGACTATTCGAGGTTCATCATGGTTCAATATTATTTGACATTAAGCTGACAATTGACTTACTTGACATTCGACTGTGATAGTTGAGAGGATAAAGAATAGCCCAGAGACGATCGAGTGAAACAGCAACAAGGTTGAGTATTGAAATGGTGCAAAGGACAACAAGTAAGGATAACATTGTGAGACAACCAGTGAAAGCATTGCGAGGTAAACCAATTCGTGTTGAGATGGCTGAAGGTACACCGACTAGACCGACCAGTAAGTCAGCCAAAGACAAGCTGACAATGTAAAAGTTAGTAACTTTACGAAGTCGACGATCTCTGATGAAGACAACAATGGCCAACAAATTACCAAAGAAGGCAACAATTGCAACCGCTATCTCAACAATGGTGTATCCAAGAGGTAACCGAAGTTGATTGGGATTACCAGTTGTACTGTCGATTATATATTGAGGTGCTAAATAGGGTTCAATGTGGTGATGGTATGAAGTCGATAAAGGTGATGAGGTCGATATTAATGTTGAGTTTGGTGTTACTCCGGTTAAACCAGCAACAGAGGCAACTAAAGTTGCTCCAGTTAAACCTAGATCACCCATGAACAATGTTAATCCATGAATCTTAACACTTAATATGTATACACTTTGATTGTTGATTCACTGGTAAATGATTAAATCATTTTAAATTGCATTGCATTTCCTTTTGTTAACACTAGAGTCAATGTTGAACAAGCGATATCATGAGGTCAATATTGAGTATTCAATCATTACTGGATCAACAATTTGTCACTTAGTTGATGGGAAAGTTGGTTAATTTGGTTTAATTGTTTGGATTCATTCAAGATTTAATTCAATTTATTGATTTGTATTGAGTTTGGCGAGTAAAAAGTTGGTGTAAAATAAAATGTTCAAAATCGAGTCTATCACAGAGTAAATAGATTAACTGTTTTGTTGTTGACACTTAATTTTGAGTTGATTTTAGTTGCTGGTTAATTTAATGTTTACATGGTTTGCTGATGAAATCAGATTGAAAGTAGGATGGGAAATGAACAGGGTGAAGTTTCAAGTGAAGTGATGAAGAGGAACACAGAATCAACTTATGAGACTGACTTGTATTACCAGTGAGAGATGAACACTGAAAGACTGGGAAAGATGATGATGTTGGTGGAGATGTCAATGTAGATGGTTAATTGCTATTGACTCACACATTGAAATTACAAGGCGCCTTCACTTGATTTGCTGTGAGTTTAATTGTTATGGGAATACAATTTACTTTTCATCAATTTTATCATTGATTTACAGTCCCAACTACACATACAATTAGGTTTGTAATAAAGTTGACGGTTACATTGGGATCATTATTTGATGGTTAAAATGTGCTTTACAGAGGAAGGTTCAAATTTTGTTTACATCAAAATGCGAATCCATTTTTGTCTCATATTTCATCTCATATTGTTTCATCTTACAATCACTTTCAAATGATTGGTTAACTATTCAATTAAGTTATTCATTAAAAGGAGTTCAAATAGTCCTGATTTCTCAACTTCAATAATCATGTAACGACAATCAATCAGAATCTCTAGACTTTTTAGGATTCGCAGATGAACATTATGTTTGCATTAACTTCAGTATTTTACATGTTAATCGTTCGGACACGGATAGTCTAGATATCGTCATGGGTAGTTTTCAGGTTTGTGAGTTTGGGTTACCTTGAAGTATATAATCATGTTGTCATCAATTAATTCTTGCCTGGAGCTCCTAAAAGAGGGTTTATTTCTTGTCCGAGGACACTTTGATCACCCTTCTTAGCAACTCTTTCAATATTATACTGTAGCTATTAACTTTGTGTTACGTGATTAAATGCACATGTAATCATCAGTTCATTGAAACCACAATGTAATAACATTGTTAGACAAATTATTTCCAATCAATCTTCGGATTGCTATCGAGTTTAACTATTGTTGTCCTTTGATTAGATCAAGACAGTTGTTCTGAGCAATTGTATAATCAACTAAAGAGACTGACTAAGCATTCTCATGCTCTTTCTTGCAAGAAATGTTTCTAGAGAGATTGAAAGGGACTCAAATGCATGTATACATCAAACTAATCTGGTAAAGTGTAACATTAGAACGGAATATGGGACAATTTAAATCCTGTAAAACCTAAATAGAGCTTTAATAAGAGCTAAGATCCGAAATAGTCAAGCAGCTAATTAGTTTAGGCAACTAATTGTATGTTAAGCATAGATCGATGCAATCTGTTTGAACTGGTCAGTAAAACCTAATGTTTTCATTTGCAAGTCAATTTGATCCATTTGCCTAATTTGTTGAATGGTTTAACCAGTGATCTTTAGTCTCTAAATTAAACTTACAAGGGAATGTGTAACTTGAATTATCAATCCCAAATTACTCATTGACCACGTCCCATGCAAATGAAACCCTCGAAAGTTTTACATAACTGGTGCAACTCTCAGGTTTAGGTGTTACGGTCATAATTTCTATTCACATCACAACTGTTAGATTGGATTTATGTACATTCACTGCAAAGGACATTTTTCAGGACAATTCTTGATATTTTGCATAGTTGCTGGACTCTTCTGAATCAATAAGTATTGAAAATTCGGTCACAATATTAGCTTTAGTCTAGATTGTAAGATTTAAACGTGATGTTATGGACTAACTTGTTACATTCATTAATTTATTCTTTACTTTCAGTCATTAAAATTAAATTTTTAATCGTCATTTGTCTTGTCTATCAAATTGAAAGTAAATATTAAATTATTGATCCTTGGTAATTAAATGATTGAAATGTATCTTTTCATTAAAACTTCATTTTAACTTAGCACAAATAAACGTCAAAATGTATGGTGAGATTATTCATATAAAAATTAAAAGCATGTTATTTTTTCGAGACTTGGAAGTTAATATCACATCATAAGGTCACAGTATATTTTCACTTGAGAGTGCCATCCATTATGGAGAAAAGCAATTTAACTGTTGGTGCGTTTTCGGTGAGTTTTCAAATCGATCTGTGAATTCTGTGCTTGACGGATATTATTATACTGTACATTGTAGGTTTTTGGTCAAGGATTTGTTGAAGTGGATGGCCAGACTGTTCCTGAATTGAAATCGCTTAAACGATTTGCAGCAATTATGGCTGATTATGGACCTTTTAAGTATGATGTTTTCACCTTAAACAATCCAAGTCAAATTAATTGCCTTTTAGTTTGAAATTTCATTTACCAGAATCTGGTCAATTAGGTGTGCTTACAGAGACTGGTTATCATGATGGGGTTTTGGGTTTGATGCAAGAAGGGGTAAGTTTAGTCCAATATTTCATCAATTATTATTAAACATAAATTATATTTTCATGGTTAACTCTTGTCATTGTCAAATAAGTTGACAGTATTTAACATTAAATCTTTAACTCGCAATGCAACTTTAAACTTTACGTTTTGCAAAATATTTTCGTTGATAGAAAGTGGAATTGTGTTTCTTACCAATGGCACTGGACACTCAGAAAGTACCAGGTCAATTTACACCCGTTATATCAGAAGAAAGCTATTACATCAGTTCAATGCGAATTTTGGGTGGTGGTACTTCAGCTTTTATTAATAGCTTTATATCAGTCAACACAATTCCCTTACTGTTAGCTATTTTAATAGTTTTACTATTGAAATTGGCTGTTATCGGTCATTTCAGTATTGAATCCATTGTTAATGCGATCTATCAATCCTTTGGTACTTCATTTCGTCAGAATCTATCTCGACAATCGACATGGTTCTGTCTCATTCTAATGATTATCCTAATGTTTCCTGTTTTCATCTTCAACGCTTCATTCAACACTCAAACTATTGTCGGGAGTAATGACGTTAAAGTTAATACATTGAGAGATGTCATCAAATATGGCAAGATACCGTTTTTCATAGAGGGCATCTCTATGTACGACTTGTTCAAAGCTAAAGTCACTAAAGAATACGCTGAAATCTATGAGCGTGCAAAATCCAAAGGATTTGCTAAGCCATACGAACTTGGACCTTTTCCTGTTATCGGATCTTATATCAGTATGGTCACTTTCATCTCTACTCTAGGCGTAAAGGTAGCTCCTCTAGGCGCTTCTGAAATACTTGAACCTAATAAGGTTCAGTATATTTCAGATAGACCCTTTCACAGGTCTGTACAAGCTTTGCTGATGAGCTCCAAAACTCCGAAGTCAATAAGGAGAAGAGTCCATCTTATGTAAGCATACGATTTCGTTTAATAGCTCAACAAGCACAAAAAGCAATCTTAAAAAGCTAACTTATTGTTTATTTGCTTGTTATGAACACAATTGTAACATTTATGCACAAATTGACTCAACTACTAAATGAAAAGTGGCCAAAAACGGGTAAAAATTAGTTTAACTCGCACTTAAACTCTGTTGGTTTGTAGAGAAATAAAAACTGAAGCCATTTTGACGATTTAAAAACTTCTCAGGTGAACCGTTGTCGAAAAAATCGAGTTCAAAGTTGAAAATTCGATCGCTTTTTTTACAAAAATGGAAGCAGATTTTTTCATGAAACTCATTTTCAGGATGTGATTTTTGATGGCCAACCAGAAAATGCACTTGATTTGATGAATAAAATTTTCTTTTCAAAATAAAACAGATAAGTTCGAATTAGAAACAACCCGATCGATTTCCGTGACCTTTTAAGTTAGAGTACTGAAACTTATTATCTGTACATATAAATTGATTATAAACATTATGAATCAAATCATTTTTTGAATTTAGCGATAGTTCTCTCGATTTTGGCCATTGGCCATAAAACTTTGACCCTCGATAATTTGAGAATGGCATCACCGGCAATCATCATTCTTCGACTAAACATTAGATTTTGTCATGAGCTATGATATATTTAAATTTTAGATGGTTAAAAAGCTACGGAAAAAAGTTATATCATTGTATTAATTAGGCTGTCAGATTTGATACCAGATTAACAAATGCAAATGGTTACTCATGAGTTGTAAGAAGAATATTCATTATTTAATGCATTAACTCAGATTTCTTCGGTTTTCACTCATACCGTGTGATAACCCATGACAAAATCTAATGTTTAGTCGAAGAATGATGATTGCCGGTGATGCCATTCTCAAATTATCGAGGGTCAAAGTTTTATGGCCAATGGCCAAAATCGAGAGAACTATCGCTAAATTCAAAAAATGATTTGATTCATAATGTTTATAATCAATTTATATGTACAGATAATAAGTTTCAGCACTCTAACTTAAAAGGTCACGGAAATCGATCGGTTTGTTTCTAATTCGAACTTATCTGTTTTATTTTGAAAAGAAAATTTTATTCATCAAATCAAGTGCATTTTCTGGTTGGCCATTAAAAATCACATCAGGAAAATGAGTTTCATGAAAAAATCTGCTTCCATTTTTGTACAAAAAGCGATCGAATTTTCAACTTTGAACTCGATTTTTTCGGAAACGGTTCACCTGAGAAGTTTTTAAATCACCGAAATGGACTCAGTTTTTATTTCTCTACAAACTAACAGAGTTTAAGTTTGAGTTAAACTAATTTTTACCCGTTTTTACCCACTTTTCATTTAGTAGTTGAGTCAATTTGTGCATAAATATTACAATTGTGTTAATCTTGTCTTTTTAGTATTAAAACAACCTTTTATTTGCTTCAGAACTCAAAGGATGGCTCAAGGCGGAATCGCTAAGAAAATTGAAGGAGATGTCTACGTTGAATTCATATTAAGCTTTTATTCAGCAAGTTTATTCGACATTAACAAGTCTAAAATTTCACGAAATTCACTCGAAGTTTACTGGAAGTCTCTAAACTTCAATGCATTCTATGAGATATTTTATGGCTACATTTCATTGTTAGCCTTGGTATTGATTTTTCAACTTGTTGAGATACTAATTGTCCTGCTATATAAGCGTCAAAGGATAAGAAATGCCTACTAAAGTCCATGGAGGCTAATGTATTAACCAACCTAACAACCAGACAATTAAAAGACAGTCTTATTTTCATTCATTGCAAAGTAATAAGTTATATTTTATTTATGGAAATGTGATGTTTATTGTGATATTGCACTTCGTTCAAAAACGTTTACAAGAAACGAAGGAACACACAATTATGTACAACTTTTGTTACATCGATTGCAATTCAGTTCACTATTTCAACAGTTTAGCATTGGCATTAACAAAGGCATTGGGAATTGAATGTTAACAAATTTTGAATGTCCGATTAAAAGATGACTCTAATCGTAATTTCGTTTCTTATTCTTCAATCAAACTCAAGTCCTTATTATATCAAGTTCTCACACCTCTAAACGTTCGTAAAACAGATCGCTAGTCAGATTAGACGCATCTTCCCGATAATCGTAACTGTCATGATATCCTTGCCTCTACTAAAGGAATTCAACTTTTCCTAACGTTAGTTAAGGAACGGTCGAAGGTTCGAAGGTCTAACTTTTAACATTTTTTCGTCAGTCAGAAGTGCCATAAATCAGTTTCATTATGCCACTTTAAATCAACCAAGAGGATGAGTTTGAACCTTTGAAAATCTTAAAAGTTTTTAAATTAATTCTTAAAGAATGATTCCTTGGATTGGAAATGCAATAACTGAAACTTCAGTCTGAAACAGGAAAATGAAACTTGGTGACTCCATCTGTTTTCATTCAATTTCACTATCCAAAAACTGTAATCATTTACCAGAAAAACTTTTATTTCAAAATACACTAGTAGTCAGGGTTAAGTTAATAAAAAAGGGTCAGATTTAAGTTAATTTTTAAGTGTCGCCATCTCGAGTATTTATCGCTTTAAGTAACACAAAACAATGAAATCTATGAAAATTAAATTCGATCTTAAAGGTACTTTTGTTTCTTGTTAGATGGCGACTATGAAAAAAATCGCCACTTTTCTTAACTTAACCCTGACTACTAGTGTATTTTCAATCGGCTTTGCCTTCCAAATGCTATTCATATATGGATAACAAAGTCAAAAATCATTGCAATAGTTTTATCGTAACAAAATTATCTCAATTTTGATTACTTCTTAACTCGATAATTATCAATTTTTTGTTTATTCAATTCTTTTCAATGAGAAGTGAAAGAGTTGATGTTTTGTTTGGAGTTAAAATTATCAAAGCTAAATGATAAAATTATATTTTATACGAAATCTCTAGCTTTTATCAATTTATTCTATTCATTTTGGGATGAAAAAAGCCTTTCTTCAAGGAAATGTAAACTTTCATTCAAGCTGAATCTCTTTATTTTAAGGTCATAAAATTAATGATAAAAATAATTTCGAAAGATTTATTCAGATTCTTAGAAATGAATTTTCAGGTGGAAATTTATAAATTTACATAATCTTGTAATTAGTATAAACAAAGCCTCAATTAAATAATGAATTTCTTGTCGCTGATCGAGTGTTAAAATGAAGAAAAGCCGATCGAGATACAAAATTTAAGATTGGCGCTAAGAATCTGATTTTTGTCATTCGGAATATTAAAGCTGTTTTAGAGTCGATAGATGGCGACTTTTAAAAAGAGTGTGAAGCAGGCGCAAAGGCTATTTTTTCCTGTTTTTATCCACCATTTTGTTCTGAGTTGTATGAAACAGTTGTATTCGTTAAAGCAATGCAACAATAAAATTGTGTTTTGTATTGTACAAATGGTCTACAATATGTACAATGCAACTGTTTCATAAGTTAGTAAATAAATAAATATTTATAAATTGAATTTATAAATTAGTTTCATGTTAACATGTCAAACGACAGATTTGTTCTCCAAGTTTATGTTGGAGCTTTTAGCCGTTTATATGAGGCCTTGTCCATTGAAGCAAGTAAACAGACAACAACAGAGGAGATAATTGAATGTATAGCCGAAAAATTGAGTCTCCGAGATGCCAATAGTTACGAGCTTGCAGAAGTGATACTTGGCCATGAGGGCGAAGATTGTAAAGAACGACGGATAGGTCCTAGTGAATGTCCTGTTGCCCTTCAACTATTGTGGCCTCTTAATCCTAAGTGTAACAACAACCAAGGTATACCCAAAGATGGTAAAAATAAGGATATTTTTTCTGGTTTCATTGGACCTGAGTATAGATTCTGCTTACGACGTAAAATTATGCAACAATGTATGAACTGGTCTTTCTCATGGACCGATAGTAATGATTCTCAACTTTTGAAAGATTATTTCCTTCGATTCCTGTATCAACCAAGAGACAGAGAGTACCCAGATTTGTGCCAACTACCCGATTTAACAGAGCAAACTTTATTGGAAAATCTTAAGGTCAGAAATTTTACATTCTTATAATGGCACATTATATTATGAACATTGTTCTTATTGTGACTTTTTTACTCATTTTTCAATACAGGCAAGATTTGAGAAAGGCCATATTTATACCTATGTTGGGTCCATTTTGATTGCCGTCAACCCTTTTAAATTTTATCCTATTTATAACCCTAAATATGTTCAACTTTATCAAAATCGCCGTCTTGGTGATTTACCACCACACATATTTGCCATTGCGGATGCTGCCTATCAGGTATGGTATGGTTTTTAGATAGCGGATCTTTTGATGTTTATGATGATGGGAGACTTATACGAAGGCCCTTATAGTCTCGTTGCTATCCTCTTTTACCATCATCATTACATCAAGATAACTCCCTTATTTTTGTCTATAAAATCATTTATCTTAACCTATTGGATTGAATATGTCAATTAATCAACAAAATGTTTATTCCTTTTTCTTTTTACTCTCCTTTCTTCCCATCTCTTCCTTTATTAGGCTATGCTTCGCAAAAGATGTAACCAATGTATTGTGATATCTGGTGAAAGTGGCTCTGGTAAGACAGAAAGCACCAATCTTCTTCTTCACCATTTAACTGCTCTTAGTCAAAAAGGCAGTCATGGAAGCGGTGTGGAACAAACCATTCTTGGAGCTGGGCCTGTCTTAGAAGCCTTTGGTAATGCCAAGACAAAACATAATAATAATTCAAGTCGATTCGGTAAATTTATTCAAGTTAATTACAAAGAAAATGGAATGGTACATGGTGCCGTGGTTCAAAAATATCTATTGGAAAAGTCAAGGATAGTTTCTCAAGCCAAAAATGAGAGAAATTATCATGTATTCTATTATTTGTTGGCCGGCGCTGATCAAGCTGATAAAGAAGTTCTACATTTAACTAAAGCATCTGATTATTTTTACTTAAATCAAAGTAAATGTTATACATTAGAAGGGGTCGATGAAGCTTACGAATTCAGTCGGCTTAAACAGTCCCTTGAAATGGTTGGATTTTCACGGGAAAAACAGCGTCGATTGTATGCTGTTCTTTCAGCAGTACTTCATCTAGGAAATGTTGAATTTACTAAAAAGTCAACTTACCACAGTGATGAAACTGTGATGGTGCAAAACGTTCAAGCAGTGTCCATCATTTCAAAATTATTAATGGTCAAAGAGGAAACATTGTTAAGTGCCCTAACCTGCAAAAAAACAAAAGCAGCCAAAGGTGAAACAATAATTATCAATTATAAAATGGCTGATGCAGTGGCTACTCGAGATGCCATGGCAAAGTGTTTGTATGGTGCTCTTTTTGATTGGATTGTTATGCAAGTTAATCAAGCTTTGTTAACCAAAAAAGAACCTCGTGATCATCGTGGTAACTATATTGGTGTTTTGGATATATTTGGTTTTGAAGATTTTGGTGATCAAAATTATTTTGAACAGTTTTGTATTAATTTTGCCAATGAACATCTTCATCATTATTTTAATCAGCATGTGTTTAAATATGAACAAGAGGAATACAGGCGAGAAGGAATCAATTGGAAGAGTATTGATTTTCATGATAATGTTGGTTGCCTTAATCTTATTGAGGGCCGTCCACAAGGTTTATTGTGTTTATTGGATGACCAATGTAACTTTCCAGGAGCTAGCAACTCAACGGTTTTACAAAAGTTTGTGAACCATCATCAAAATAATCCTTTATTTGAAGTGCCTCCTTGTCGTCAGAGCGCTTTTGTGATCAAACATTATGCGGGAAAAGTGAAATACCAAATTAAGGATTTCCGTGAAAAAAATATGGACCTAATGAGACCAGATATTGTTTGTTTATTGAAAAGTAGTAGTTCTGCTTTTGTCCGTGAACTAGTTGGATCAAATCCTCTTGCCATCTTCCGTTGGCAGATATTAAAGGCCTTCTTCAAATCTTACTTTGTATTCACCAAACTGAGAGAGCAATCCAAGCAAAGAAGAGGTAATCATCGAAAAAAACATCATTTGTTTAATTGTTACTTTTTTTCTACCAACTCAAACAATCAGCTACCATACAATCCTCACATCAATTACCTTTTCTATCTTACATACTTCTCCTGCTCTCGCATTCATCTTACCCTGACCCTTCTTTTTCTCTTTCTTTTTCTCTCTCTCTTCTTTCATCATAATCTTCAACTTGTTCTTTTTAACCTGCTTCATCATACTCTCACTCCCATCTTGAACTCATACTTTCCTTTCATCATTATACGATTCACCGAATTTTCTTTCATTTCTCATTATTGTTAAACCTATTTTTCTCCCTATCACCATTATTTAACTCAACTTCAGACTGATACTTCTAATATACACATTGTCAGAATCAGATAAAAACAACTTACACACTTTGTCAGACAAACAAACCATCATCAAATTTTTACTATCGCTCTCAGAATCCGTATTATAACACCAAACTTCCATATCGCATTAAACAATAAGCTTCTCACCTTCCTTTTACTCAATTTCTCATGATAGTCGATTTTTCTTTTTCAAACGGTATTTATTTCCTTAACTAAACTCTCTTTTTCCAATTTTCTCTCTCTTTCTCCTTCTCCATCTTTTAGCCATGAATGGTGCCGGATCGATGAACACAACCTCATCAAAATCCAAAACCTGTAAAATAGGTGCCTTTGAGATGAAGCAAAGGTAAAAAAATCAACATATAAGGAAAAAACTTATAATCTAAAATTTATACTCACATTTATACTTACTCATGTCTCTCTGTTTATGGTGATATGTAAAATTAGTAGAAAGAGATGATGAAGAAGAGCAAAAATCCTGTATCCTTAGTTGAAGACAGGAAGACAAGATGAGAGAGACAGGAAAAGAGGAAGATCTGGACTGCTTTTTTCTCCTTCAGTAAAACAAGTCTTTCTCTATTCCATATCTCATCTTAAAGACATGGATTGGGTTTCTTATTGGAATCCCTTTTTGTTTCTTCATCTCTCTCTCACCATTTCACACACAACCCATATTCATCATATTTGTTTTTGATCAGCATCATCCTCCTACTTTTCCTCTTTCTCATCTCTTTATTCAGTCTCTTGATTTTCATCTTTAATTTCTTGTTTTCGTCTTCTGTGAAAAATATGCTCTTTTTGCTTGACGATGGTCATCATCGTTGCCATTGTTTTTGTCTTTGCTTTTAATCTGCTCATCATTATCATTCTAGTTGATGAATTGCTTTGATAATGACAGTTATGTCATTATCGCTGATGTTTACAATTCAGAGTTGGTTGAAAAAATTGACTTGTTTTTTTGCCTTGAAAAAAACTACTTAAAATGAGTCAACCAAATGTGAACCAGAAAAACATTTTCATATCAACATTTATCTTCAGCTTTATAATTTTCACAATATGTGAAGATGAACTAACATTTATTTTAAAAGATTGATAGTTTTATTTATTTTATCCAATTGATCATAACTTTATTTTCAATATAATGATCCTAAAATTCAAGATGAAAACCAATTAACTCGGTATCTTCATCATTTTTAATGTTATTCAGCTACTTACCATCTAAATCACACAGCTAATCATATTTTTTGATTCTTGTTTTTGTTGACTCCATGTTTGTTGTAATCCATGGTTACTCATGATATCATCCTAAATTTTAATGATAACACTCTCACATTTCACTTCCAGTTTTAGCCTATTCTATGTTTTCCTCTTTCTCACTCTTTTCCTTTCTCAACTCTTCATCTTAAAATATCCTGGAAACCGTTCTTTAATCAAATATTATCATTCAACTTGACGAAGCGTAATATTAAATCTTCCCATCTTCTTTCTCTTCCTTCTCCCCTGATATTCAATATACCTTTCTCTTACCCATATCTTACTGATTATTTTGATTATTTCCCAAAATTTCTCATTTTGATTTCTTAAAAGTTTAAGGCTTAGTTTCCCATCTAGAGTCAAGTTAACCCAAGATCGCAATAGATTGAAATGAGAAATTTGATTTCCTTTAAGGCCAATTGTTGATCGGATTTTTGTTAATTCACTGATCGACAAAAATTAATGATCAACAAATCGTTAGGTGAACATAATGTTCAATGGATTCAATCCAATGCGTTGACACAAACCAGTTTGAATAATTTTCATCATTTTAGTCAACTACTATTTTTATTGATACATTTACCTTCATAGATAACCTCAATGTTTTAAACTTTACATTTGACTTGTAATAATAGTGGTAATAATAATGATGATAATAACACCAAGAGACGATCAGTTGTATTTTAATTCAAATTATATTTTGATTGTCTCTTGATAGTTACTGAGAAAAAACTAGAAGTAATTCATAATACTTAAAAATAATGACTTTCTAACTCATAACGATCAACTTCAATCAATAATTCAAATTGCACAGACACTTGCACTATAAAAAAAAGTTTAACGATAGTTATTAGTTGATGTAATAATAATGATAAAAATAGTAATGACAAGCAAACAAGTTGCTGTTGAAATGAAATGTTTTTTATTTTGTTTTCTCAGTTGAAACAAGGTAACTTTTTTATGTGTATTAAATGATGACAATTATGTTTCTCTCATTGATGGAATTGAATTGAATTGCAATATTATCGTCATCCTGTTCAACTGACTCCTGCTCTTGGAATCATAACAACAACGATGTTATCCTTTTATCCTCTTCCTTCTAGAGATAACCATCTTTCAATTCATTTATCTCATCACCATTATCATCATTATCATTAGTAACATCATAGTACCTTTTCCCTGTTATCTCATCCTATTTTGGTTTCTTCTGTTTTTTCACTCTACCACCCAATCCATCAGTATCATCATCATTATTATAATTATTTTTAGGACCAGTTTCATCTTTTCACAAGCATTATCATGTAATTTTTGTATCGATCACAATCAAACTATCACAAACTAAACATTAATGTTCAAAGTTGGCATCAAGAAAAAAAATGAAATGAAATGAAAATAGCGTGAGATTTTTGCAAACACATGTTTGCACGCTTACTCTCCCGTTAACCTTTCATCTGATTCATCAACACACAATGGCCAATATTTACTTACATTATCAGCAAATATTGTCCATCTAACTGGCTATTTAACGTCTGCAACCTTTTATATCAACATGGTCAATTTTTCTCACCTAGAAGTTCAAACAAATGAATTTCCTTTCAAGAAATGAAGATTTCTTTGTCTTTTTCAATTTAATTTTTCAATCTGTTGACGACATTTGAAACTGTTATATCAAAAAATTAGCCCAACGATTCACCATCAAAATTGATGTCTATCCTCCGCTCCCTTAAATTAGCTCTGAAATGCCAGTTTTATCATTGATTCCAATTCGTGTTTCAACTTCCTTCAACAATAACATCACAAAAAACTCAACACATCTTAACCTTCATCCTGACAAGGCATCAAAAAAACAGTTTAAAGTGCATTGTTTATTTTTCAATCCATCTTGATCTTGAGCTAATTGATTTGTTACTCTCAAGCTATCTATTAATTTAATTAGTATTGTACTTTTAATTTGTTGTTTGTTTACCCTTACAATGCTATTTAAACAATTAATTTTTCAATATCAGAAAATTTCATCCAGAAAAGCTTAAAAACCAATTCTAACAAAATTATTGAATATCTTGCCAGTTACGTTTATTGAATTATTGACAGACCATTTTATTCAACAATTGTTTAAACAGTAATTTCACCTGAACTTCAAATTTAATTTGATTTTTTATGTTGTTTTCAAGTAAAATTAATTTCTACTTCAGCTTGACAAAAATCAAAAGTTAATTGAATACTGTAAACAGGAACATTGTCATTAAGGAAGGACAATAATCAGTAAATTTTGACTTACCTTTTGTTCACAAATAATACATCAATTGCTTAATAGTTTCCTTAATTTTTACATCATTATCAAACCCTCCCAACTCACCTTCACCATCATTCACAAATCATCCTCCTTTTTGCTCCCAAACAATTGCAGCGTGAAACAAATTTATTATTTAACAATGACAGTTAGACAATTTTATTATTTACTCATAGCATTTCATTAATTGACTTTTCACATCCTGTCAGCATCCTTACCTTCATCCAAATATCCTCATCAGTTTTAAATTAACGCTCAAACTATCTCTTGAAGTGCAAATGTAATCGCCATTTGCCAATTTCAATAACACAATGTTTTAGTGTCAAAGCTTGTCAATCAATTGAATTTTTTTACCTTTCGAACCTCGTCCGTGTTCAGTCTGAACATTAATCTTGTTGCTTAAAGATCACAAATTATTCTGTGTTCATTATCATTCAACATCATGCAAGAGTGTTAACAAGATGAACCAACAAAACTTTAATGATATTGAGAATGAACAAGGTTTATATTTTTTTCATATATTATCTTGTAAATGAAACTTTACGCTGTTCATTATTTACAGATATTAGAAGTTCAGCTTTTTCTTGCATCTTAAGCCAACTTATTGCTCTCATGTTTCTCTCTTAATGACATTTATTGATGATGATTAAAAATTTAAACTTTTATCCGGATTACAGGAAAGCCTAAACCCCTTAGTGCATGTGGGCCAAATATTGAAACGATGATGTAAAATAATAAGATGATGAAAAAAAAGGAAAACAAAATCTATGTTTATATTGACTTTGTTAAGTATACTTACTAATGGCTTATTTAATGGAATCCATGTTAACTTTTCTCACGATTTTGTCTCAATATTTGAAAAACTCGCCAGTTTCATTATCTTCTTTTATTCACGCAAAATGTTTCATTAACGTTTTTGGGTTTGAATTTTCTTTCATTACAAATTAATCCATTTTGATAGATTTTTTCCTCAATCCGTATTTAGTTTACATTCATGCCATAAGTTGACCCTTCGACTAACATTTCATTCTAATCATAGGTCAGCTCACGGCAAACTTTATCATTTACTTTCACTTACCCTTTTAATCGGTAAATATTAGCTTATGTATATTTACCAAAACTTGATTAATGTTCATTTCACTTTGCTTAGTTTTCATTTATTTTGACTAATGTTCAACACACTTTGCAATGGTGAACTTATTCTGTCCTCTACAAACCCCTTTGTGTCCATAGCAATGGATAAAATAACGGAAACAATTTCACGTTTATTCTCATTTCAACCATGACAACTAAGCATAGTTTTGTGTAACTCTTTGCTATTCATGAAAATACTGAAAACCAACGAAATAACTTTTACTGCTATTTTAGTTGAATGTTTCATTCAATGTCTCATAAATCAACAGTTGGACAAGTTTGCAACCACTAAATATAACTTGGTTGAAATGGACAGAAACCTCTGTGGTTTGTGGTGTTTGAGCTGAAAGGTCATCCGTAAAGAGTAAATGAGACAGATTGATATCAAGTTGCTTAAATAAGCTTTCAAAGTTAGCATTGGTTTTGCATTTTGCAAATAATCAGTTTGGACGAGCTCATAGGGAGAAAAAAGTTGTCGTTAGCTTTTCTCACGACCTTTCATTGAGCAGAAAAATGAGATGTTGAGAGAAGAAGACAGAGAACAAGAAAGAGAGGAAGAAAGAGAGGAAGAAAGAGAGGAAGATAGATGAAGATGTAACTTTTTTGTCACTTCTAATCAAACCTTTTTTGTTGGTCGTTAAACAGCACTCGCATCTTAAATTATTCAA